GAACTCAAAGTATCAATCTACAGAGACTCATTGGAAAACAGAAACTTGTCGTCATCAGAACTCGAAAAACTTTGTTCAATTTACAGAAACTCACTAACTTCAACAACAACATCTACAACATCTACAACATCTACAACATCTACAACACCATCATCATCATCAACAAGCTCACCTTCAACTTCAACATCGTACGTCTCCAGGGATAAACGTAATATCAAGAATGGTGCAAACTCACCTTCATAACGCGAGGTTTCTTTTTTGGGCTTTTATCTTAAACTTTGACCTCGAAGTTATATATTAGATCACATTTTATAGTCAAGTATAAAGGCAAGAAAGCTAAGGTACACCGATATTTTTTTGAGTTAGGAACTTTATTTGGTTTGGATTAGAGAGTTGTCCTTTTTTCTTTATCCTTTGTTATCTACTTTTGATTTTAAGTTTTAATATTAACACTAATATTAATAAAAAAAAAAGGCTTTTTTTTTAGTTTGGACTTGATTTGGGTCCAGGAGCTGCATAGGAGGAGCTACTACAACGTTATTGCTCTTTTAGTTACTGTTTCCACTATACAGAACAATATATTCAAAAAAAGAATAAAATAAAAATTATATATATATATTCAAAAGATTTAAAACTCAACACCTATAAAGCTTTGCAAATGCCATCTCAAGATCAATCATCTCCTTTAATCTATCTCTATCCTTTGAAAAATGATGGTATTGCCGGTCATAATGGGAGAAAACGTATAGTTTTCTTATTATTCTCACTATCGTTCTTATTATTGTTGGCTTCTTCAGTTACTATATTTAACGATAATTCGTTATATTCAAGTATTGCTAAAAAAAATCTGAATACAACAAAAAATAAAAAGAATTTGATTTTCTTCGTCACTGATGGTATGGGCCCTGCTTCTTTATCCATGGCAAGGTCTTTCTATCAATTCGAAAAAAATCTACCTTATTACAACATTCTTCATCTAGATCATCATTTAATTGGTTCTTCAAGAACAAGATCAAATAGTTCGTTAGTCACCGACTCCGCTGCTGGTGCAACTGCTTTCAGTTGCGGTTTGAAGTCTTACAACGGTGCCATAGGTGTGGACCCTTTCAAAAATCCTTGTGGCACAATTTTGGAAGCTGCAAAACTAAGTGGATATTCAACAGGCTTAGTGGTCACTACAAGATTAACTGATGCTACACCAGCTTCCTTCAGTTCCCACGTAGACTACCGTGTTCAAGAGGATCAAATTGCTTTACAACAATTAGGCCATTACTCCTTAGGTCCAATGGTAGACCTATTAATGGGAGGTGGAAGAACTCATTTCTATACCGGCATAAATAAATTCGGTTCTTTTGGTTCCCGTAAGGATAACAGAAATTTAATTAAGGAATCCATCGCTAATGGTTGGTCCTACGCAGGTTCAAGAAATGAATTCGATTCTTTAAAACTTGGTGAAAACGTCACTTTGCCTTTCTTGGGTTTGTTCGCTGATTATGATATTCCTTTCGAAATCGATAGAGATCCACATAAATTCCCATCGTTATATGAACAAACTGTCACCGCTTTAACTGCTTTGAGTAAACATACTGAAAACTCTGATAAAGGTTTCTTTATCATGATTGAAGGTTCAAGGATCGATCATGCTGGCCATCAAAATGATCCTGCCGCTCAAGTAAGAGAAGTCTTAGGTTTTGATGACGCATTTAGAGCAGCTATAGAGTTTGCTAATAATTCGGATGTTGAAACTGTAATCATTTCAACTTCAGACCATGAAACTGGTGGTTTAGTTACTTCAAGACAAGTTACAAAAGAATATCCTGAATACGAGTGGTTCCCAAAAGTTTTATCAAATTCAAAACATTCAGGGGAATATTTAAAGAAGAAACTAGTTTATCATAACTTTAATGGAGATCTTCTTGCTAAGAGAAATTATATTAAGAATGATATCTTTGAAAGTGGTTTAGGTATTTTTGACTATACAGAAAATGACATCAATGAAATTTTAGGTTTTATCGATGACAATGATATTCAAGATAAATTGAATGAAATGGTTTCTGTTAGAGCAGAAATCGGTTGGACCACCCATGGTCATTCAGCTGTCGATGTTAATATTTACGCCTATGCAAATAGAGAAAAAGCTTGGTTTAACATTTTATCTCATTTGCAAGGTAATCACGAAAATATTGAAATTGGAAAATTTATGGCAGATTATTTAGACCTAGATTTAGATCATGTTACAGGCTTAATTAAAGATGTCGATCATTCTCCACCTAGTGTTATTAAGGAAGAATTAGAATCAGGCATTGCTATGGCAGATGAATATCATAAAGTCAATTATCAATCAGAATAGTCTACTAATTCCTAAATAGATTTTTTATTACTATTTAAAATCTATTACAATACTATTAATTGTCTGGTTTATTGTTTTTATTTATAGTATTATTCAAATAAAGAAAAAAGTTTTAATAACTAAGAGGCTCTTTTTTTATATAAATTTGGTTTGTTATTATTATACAGATATACAGTGTATATGCATTTTTATCAATAAATACTTTATTATATAAGAAGTATCTATTGAAGAGGATATTATATTACCATTGGATTTTATGGTATAAAATCGAATCTTGTTGTATACTTGCAATGACGCGTAGCGATTTTAATATCGTCTATTGAACTATTATGATTATTAGTATTATTATTATTTTTATTAATATTATTATTATCTTTTATTATTCCATCCCAGAAGTAATTTCAAAAATAAACATGAATAAGATTTCTCTTGAAAATAAAAAAAACAAAACTGGAAAAACAAAAAACACACTGAACATACATGAATATATATGAGAGGATAACTTATCCCATCTTAGTCTAGTTGTGTTCCAGTCCTTGAATTAATCTTTCCTTACTCTTCAATGTGGTAAACCAAAAAATTTGGTAAACCAAAAACTTCATAATTTAGTCTTTTAGCCATTTTTGCAAAACCCTCAGTTTCGATCAAATGATAAAATGGGAAATTTGGGAACATAGCACCGTCTCTATGAACTTCTGCCTTAACCAAAGTACAACCACCACCGACACCATCCAATGCCATTTCTTCACCGACATCACCACTTGGATTATAGAAATGAGCCATTAGTGGCCTATAAGTAGCGATTTCTGCATAACCTTCAACGATAATTTCGTCATCACCCATTTTTGAAGCAAGTTGTAAACCGATATCACTTTCTGCCCAGTTATTAAAATCATAAGGTCTGATAGAATCTTGTTGTTTATCATTATCGAAAAATCTTTGGTATACATTTGCAGCTAAAACTGGTTTATCATGTTTTGTCATACTTTCGATAACAGTTGTTGGAGTTTCGACAATATCAGAATCCAACCAGAGAACCCAGGAAGTGTGTGGACCCAAAGTAGAGAACAAAAGTTCATTTCTGGCTAACGCCATTGCGGCACGTCTTTCCTTTTGAACAGCCAAACTGTGTCTCTCTTTTTCTTCCAACTTATCGAAACTTTGTGATTCTTGTCTTAAAATAGTGATCTTAGAGAATCTGTTATTCTTCTTATCAGATTGAACATTTTTAACTGCAGTTTCCAATTTCTTCAATGCAGCATCACCAGCATCAGATCTTGGAATGATAAATCCCAGTTCAATCAATTCACGTGGATAGGATAACTTCAACAAATTTTCCCAATATTTCTCGTGGAAAGTCTGCATAGGAGTCAATACCAAGACATGTTCCTTATCAGAGATCGAATCAGATGTAGAATGCAACTTATTCAAATCGTAATGAGCAATATGACCCTCAGGAATAATATCCTCGACACGATCATTGAACAACCAATTGAACTTCTTCTTGTAAGAATATTTGGGCAATTTGAACTTGCTAGAGTATGGGAAATAGAAAGTCCCCTCGATCTCATGTGCCCACTTGTGATTTCTAATGGTAGAACCAGAAAACCCTAGAATAGATTCATCCTCTTTGAAAAATATCAAATAAACTAAAAATAAAGATATCAATGGAAACACAAAAGCCAACCAAGGACTCTTCCTCAAACGAAACAAAACCAAGGATAACTTCATTTCTAATAAAAGTTCACCGCAGCAATTCACCTGAACCCTCCTTTTAATCAAATAAAAACTTCAACCTCAATATATATCCAACTATAAATTAAAATTATTCATCTAAAACTTTATCCATTTTTAAATCAATATCTTCCTTTATATATATTTTCCATCCTTCTCTGATATCAAGATATATTCGAAAACGAGTTGTACACGTTTGGGCGGTGGTTAAGTATGGCGTACATAATGATATTTTGATTATGTATGTATGTATATAAGAATGATTATCTATTGTATATTGGATCAATTGGATTGAACAAGAGGTATGATTTTGTTATTGGATTATGTCTATCTGGAGGTGGCATATTTTAAATTGCTATTGTAATAATCCTCCTCTTTTCCTTTTGAATTCCTTTTGGAAATCTCCGTTGATGATTTTGCCTGATGAGATGCCGTTTTCACCAGCTAACCAACCAGGAACCTTTGAAACGTCAATTAATTCTTGGTCACATAGTTGGTGCAATCCTCCAAATATATCGTTGCCTTTTAATTTGAATTTTATAGCGACATCTTCTTGTGATTCCTCTATTGTGTTTATCATTGTGAATTCAACTTTTGAAATTGGAATTAACGAGGTATAAGGTGACGGATATTTATTCTTGTTTGTTGTGACATCTATGTCGCTTAACAATCCTCCGGTCTTGTTACGTTCAGATATACTCTTTTCTATGTTTATTTTTCGTACTCCTTCTTTTGTTCCTTTGAATTTTAACATATTATTCTCTAGCTTGATCCGCTTAATGACATTACTGCTATTAGCCGATTTATCATCATCATCATTTATAATTATCCTTTTACCATTGATCGATATATGTTCATTCGGTTTACTGAATGGTGATATATCGAATGATGCATCTGCGTAATTCTTCCATGGTCCAAATGCTTGAGAGTACCTGGATATACCATTAATCACGTTCATGGCGTCTAATGATCGCACCGGTGTGTCTTCATTAGGTTTTAGAAGTACAGGTACACGCTCAGATAACGTCTTTTGAACACTCTGTAGTATCAGTTTAGCATAACTATCTGAATCAGACGAATGTATCACTATTGAAGAATTTTCTGGGAATGCAACGTAAAATGGCCGCCTTGAAGTCAATTCCCTCTCTTGATAAGTCCTAACGTCTAATTCAATACTTTGAATGTCGTTCTTACCATCTGGGTTCCTTTCTGGTAGTGCTGTTAAAAACATATTATTAAAATCAAATAATTGAATTCGACATATGATTAAGGGTAGTTCAGGATGTTTGAAAATATATATATTTGAAAGATAAAATTTAGAAAGATCTTCCTTCAAGTTCTTAATAAATTTATCAGGATTTATAATCAACAATGCTTTCTCATTATTTGCCTTCCATGCAGTTGCTGAATTCCAATAGTAATTATTAGGTTTATGAATCAAAAGATGACAGTCAATTTGTGCGATCTGATAGAGGTTCAAACCCAATGGCCAATATTCTAACAAAATCCTACTAGCAACTACCCGTCTCCTCACTTTCTTCCTCTTATAATGTTCTAATATACCTTGTAAAGAATCTATATTTTTATTACTGGAGTTACCAAATTTTGAGGTCCAGTTTATTGTCAAATCACATAAAGTAGATAAGGGAAGTTTCAATAGCTGTTTTAACAGAAGCTTCCTATCAAAATTAGGAATGAAATCATCATCAATAGCAGTTTGTAACATCTAGTATCCCATTGATCACACTGGCTTCACTTTCCTTGTATCAACATACAGCTCATCTCAACATTTTATTATGGTGATATTTTTATTTATACAACATAACGCGTAATAAATATAACAACGATACCATAGACAAGAGATAATTGATGAGATGAGCTATTGACAGAAAATTTAAAAAGGATCATTAGTCCAACAGATTTAGTTATTTATGTATGTTAATGATATGCATTGATTCATCTTCATGATAACTATATGTTCGTTATATATATAGAAAATATAGTGTGTAAATTTTACAATATTATTGTATTGCGGGAGGGATGACTATTCGAGAAGAGATATTTTGACCTTTAAACATGGATGCATTTGTAATGATTATGATACTCATATTTGTAACATCTTGACGAGGTCAAGGTGGTATTTAAATAATATATACCTAGGAAATTATTATCTTCTCTTTTTACGAGCAGGCTCTGATTTTCTTGAATTAGATTGTCCATTAGAATTAGTATTACCTGAGACAGCAGCAGCAGCAGCTGCTGCTGCCGCCAAAATTCTTCTATTAACTCCCAAACCTCCTAAAGTAGATGTATTATTATTGGAAGAGGAATTTTGTTGCTGCTGTTGAGAATTACCTCTTCCTTTATGTCCGATATTCATAATATCATTGTCGCTAGTGTGGATTCTTCTTGCAGGGTACTTATAATTCAATCCTTCAAACACGCTTTCACATACTGGGTAATCACCATTAGTGAAATAATCATGGTCTAATGCATGAGAAGCATCAATACGTGTTGTAGGATCATACTTCAATAATTGATACAGTAGATCAAGCGCATTCTTATCTCTTCCACTTGTGGAATGATACCAGATTGGTAAATTATCTCTGCACTTCGGAAACTTAGCAAGTTGATCATATTCTGGATACTTTTGAATATTTGGCCAATTCTTCGGTGATGGCGTTCCTAATACTTCTATAATTCTTTGTAATTGGTTGGCTTGGAAAGGAACGCTTTTCTTGGAATCCATTTTGGCTTCCTCACCTTTGAAAATAGGCTGTAAACCAATCAATTCTGCAAATATACACCCAACTGCCCATAAATCTATGGCAGGAGTATAGTGTCTAGCACCTAACATCAACTCTGGTGCACGATACCAAATGGTCACAACAACTTTATCACCAGTATAAAGAGTTTGTAACATGTTATGAAACTTTCTAGCCAAACCTAAATCCCCTACTTTTACGACACCATTGGATGTCACCATGATGTTTGCAGGCTTTAGATCCCTATGCAAAATCCAATTTTGATGTAAGTAGGATACACCGTCTAATATCTGCCACAGTATGGATCTGATCATTCTTTGAGGTATCATTCTTTTTTCTGGATGTGAATGGAAATGAATTATTTGTAATAAATCATGTTCTGCATATTCATAAACCATATATATGCTCTTCTTCTCCATAAAAATTTCTATCAATTTCGTCAAATGATTATTTGATAATTCTCTACAGAGAGACATTTCTCTACATGCACTTTGTGAAATACCAGTATAATGCAATTGCTCAAAACCTTCTCTTTCAGTTTTAAATTTCTTAATGGCAAAATATTTGGATATCGGTTTCTTTCTTGAAGAGTTCGAATATTGTAAAGTTGTTGTAATTCCATCCTTACTGTAATTGGTACCTAGATCTTTATTTTCACTGTTCTTATCACTATCAATATCAATGTCTATGAAACTCATACCTTGAGTGCTCGATGAAGAGGATTCTTGGAACCCAAATTTCCCACCAAGACTAATTGATTCTGATGCTTGAATGTTCGTGTTATTAGCTTTTGAGTCAAGTTCTCTGTCCAGGTATCCTGGCGAACTATCAGAGTTAGTAGAACTGCTGTCTTTATAATCTGGTCGCCTCTTAACCTTATAGACCTTACCATAAGTACCTGCAGCAATATAACCAATTATTTCATATTTCTGTAACACTGATACTCTAGATCTATCCCTTCTTGATTTATAAGGTCCTATTGAAAAGACATCATTTCCAGCCATCAACATAGGCTGTTTGCCATGCACACCAGCAGACATATTCTTCATATTCCCATGTGAGTGTTGGGATTGCTGAGATTGCTGCTGTTGATTGTTATTATGTTGTAACAATTGTGAAGAATTCTGCCACATATATATATATATATCTTAAATTCTTGTTTAATCAGATGAAATAAATTTCAATGGGGGGAAATGCAATCTTAGATTAACCTCACACTATAGTAAGCAACTATTCTGATCCAAAAGACTCCTCGAATTTTCTTCAACTGAACAATAACCCAAAAATGTTTCTGATCCGGTCACTATTAATGTATTAATGCTTAGCCTTCTATTATAATTGATATGTTTCTTAGAGAAGCAAATTTAACATAGACTTAATGTAAAAATTATAGAAACTCAGACTAATAAATATATTTTGTTGAAAACAGTGGAGAATATTGTACTTATCGATTTTAATATGATTGTTTAACCTTTTAGTATCGCTTCCTCTTGGTCTTTACTAAACTACTTGTAATATGTCCAATTTAATGCTTAATTAATACCTCTAAAAATTATTCAAAACCTTGATCCCGTATTAATAGAACCTTCACTATCCAAGCAAAAAGTCGAAAGTAATAGATAGAAGTAGATCAGAAAGCTCAATTGACTACTTAAAGAAATATGTTAGAATCTAATTCTACTATTAGTTTTATTTATATTTCACGTTACATATATTTTATATAACTGATCCAATTCTTATTTCAGTAGTGATTTCACCTCTCATAAAATAAATGCATGATGTATTTAATTATATATATACAGGTAACGTATTCTATAGGTTATTTATATTTACAAATTTGTTGTATTCACATGAATAGTTTCTTCACATCTATTACATAGTTTATCCTGTTCTTCTGAAGTTGATTTCCAACATCTTGGACATTTATGTAATGGGCTAGGTATAATAGACATTATAACTTCATCTCCACTTTGTAATTTTATAATCTTGGAGTTATGGTTATTCTCAATTATTGACGTCTTATCATTAATTATTTTAACACTTGAGGTTTTAAGTATATCACATAGTTCATCTTCTGAAAATGGGAATTCAGTTCCTACTGCATTGATAAGTACTGATGTTTGTTCAGATTTGGTTACAGTTGAGGACATTTCTTGAAATAGGGATTGAAACTCTTTAAAGATTGCCATTTCAAAAATTTCAAAAGATGTTTTCAATTGGTCATCTTTGGTGAACTTTGGCCATTCCCTTTTCATTGGTGAAATAGTATTATCAACCTCATCACTATACCATTCTTTTGGCAAGTAATTCCATGCATCTTGAACTAAAATTGGAGTGATTGGAGCTAAAATGGAACGATAAGAATCCATTATATAGAAAAGAGTACTTTGGATTTGTCTTCTCTTTAGTGAATCGATATGGTCAGAATATAAAGAGTCTTTAGATATGTCAAAATAAAATGCAGATAAATGATTATTCATGTGATATTGGATACCAGATAGTACTTTTGAGAAGTTATAATCTTTAAAATTTTTATCTGAATTTTGCAATAGCTCATTCAATGATGATATAATGTATTGGTCAAGACGACGAAGTTCATTAAATGGCATAACTTTAAAGTTACCTGTCTGTAAGTTTCCTAGCAAATAGCGGAATGTTAGTCTGAACTTCTTCAAAGCTTCAGCCACATGTGTCATGACCAAAGGTCCAGCTACAATATCATTAGTGAAGTCAGTCTGACATACCAAGTAACGTAAACCATCAGTTCCCAAAGCAGGTAAATTTAATTTATCATTGCCTTCAATTATAGCTTTTGGTGAAATAGTGTTTCCAATTGATTTGGACATTTTAATCCCATTTTCATCTAATGTAAAACCATGTGTAATCAAGGTCTTGAATGGAGCTATAGATTGATGAGAATCTGCCACTTTTGTCAATAACGAACTTTGAAACCATCCTCTATGTTGATCTGAACCTTCCAAATATATATCCGAAAGAAGCTGAGGTGTTTTCGCCAAGTTTAAAACTTCTTTATAGAAGCGTTCCATATCTTTCCAAGCAGATCCACTATCAAACCAAACATCCATAGTATCTTTACCACGTATGTACTGGTTTGCTACATCAGACATGGAAGGAGGTAACCACTCTACCATATCAGAACCATCTTCTTCTGAAGGAGAAAACCATGAGTTTATACCCTTTCTCGAGATAGTATTAATGGCATGTTCAATAATTTCGTCAGATATCAATGCATGTTCTGGATCATCCTTTCTATAGAATGCTGGAATTGGAACACCCCAGTATCTTTGTCTCGAGATACACCATTCATTTCTTCCCCTTATGAATGCTGATAATCTATTTTTACCACGTCTTGGAAAGAATTCTACTGATTCTAAAGAGTTCAATGCATTGGTTTTAACATCACTTAAATCTGCAAACCATTGAGGAGTAGCTCTAATAATGATAGGCTTCTTAGATCTCCAGTCATATGGATATGAATGGGTATAAGAATGATGATTTACTAACATTCCACATTTACTCAGTAGTTCCAAAATAACATCAGTAGTATTCTTATCAAGAACATTCCTTGATTTTTTTGATTCTGGAACAGTCAACAAAGAATGTAGATGATTAGGAATTTGCTTCAAGTCGTACTCACCTCTATTATTAACTGGTGAGTAAATTTCTAGTTCATTTTTAACACCCAACATATAATCATCAGCACCATGACCTGGGGCAGTATGAACTAAACCTGTACCCGTTGAATTTGTAACATGGTCACCATGAAGTAATGGTCTTGAGATTTCATCAGCAATCAATGGATTATGATATTTAATATCTTCTAGGAAAACACCAGGAATTTCGCAAATAACTTGATATCCTTTTAATGATTCAACTTGGTTGAACAAAGTCTTTTCAACAATTGTAAGATCATTTGAGTTCTCAGTATGTGAAATCAAAACGTAATTGAAATTCTTATTATAACTAATTGCTCTGTTAGAAAATAATGTCCATGGTGTACTTGTCCAAATTAAACAATAAATATTTTCGATATTATCTATATGTGAAGGTAGCTCATTCGAATGTTGTTTTATTTTTGATACGAATTGGTTTTTAGAATTTTCAGTTAATGGGAATCGAACATATGCTGCTCTAGAGACATGTTTTTCATTATATTCCAATTCACTTTCAGCTAATGCAGTTCTTGTTTCAGTTCCCCAAAATACAGGTTTGTTTTGTCTTCTAATATAACCCCTTTTATACATTTGATGAAAGACTTTCAGCTGATCAATTTCATATTTTGGTTGTACAGTTTCATAATGATCGTTCCAATTTGTCATAATAGCGAAATCTTTAAATTGTTTCAATTGGGAAGCAACTGCTTTTTTGGCATGACTAGCAGCAATTGATCTAATTTTCAAGGGAGATATCGTCTCTAACTTATTTGGATCTATTTCCTTCAAAGCTTTCATCTCAATGGGAAGCCCATGACAATCCCAGCCAGTTCTAAAATAAACGTACTTGCCCTTAATCAAATTGTATCTGTTCAAAACATCTTTCAAAATTTTGTTTAACGCATGTCCAAAATGTAAATCACCATTGGCATAAGGAGGACCATCTTGTATAACAAATAAATTTTCCTCTACAAACTTCAATTTGACCTTAGGATCTTGAATCTTGGTAAGTTTCCCCATAAATTCATCCCACTGCTGAGCATACAACTGATCAGAGCATTGTGGTGTTAAGATATCATACGTTTTTTGCAAATTAGATCTATTACTAAATTTAGTTTTTGGTAACAGCAGAGTCTTTTGAAAACTATGTTGTGAACCAGCAAACCTCCTCTGAAGCAGAATCAAACAATTAGATCTCCCCATTGAAGTGATCCCATGATTCATTTTTATTAAATATCCACAACGAAAATAATATAAAATTACACCCAATAACCAAATAAAATACAGAAAATTTCAGAATAACAACAACAATTTATATCAATCTATCCAAAGAACCATTCCAGTACTCCTCTAGAGTTATAACCTCCACCAATTCGTCATCTTTTATCAGTAAAGGTCTTGTTATATCCAATTATCAAAATTTTTCGATCTTAAAGGTTTGAAATATTTCGAAAGTGAAAAATTACATATAAGAAGTAACAATGAGTATTTTAAGACTTGACAAGTCATCGAATGTTTGGATAAGAGCAGGTAAGGCAAGAGTTAACTGTTTCTGTTGTTTGATATTGTTGTTGATATTTGAAATTTATATATTTATATTTGTTGTTTGATTTTAGTTGGTTAGTATTTGAGCAGGCTTGGTGATTACGTATGTTTTAGCAATAATTATTTGGGTGAGTAACTGAATACTTCCAATTAAAATTTTGTTTATATTACGAACTATATTATACAGGAAACACTTTTATTTTCTTTTGATTTGTTTTGATTTGCTTGATTTAATTTGATTATAATATTTTTGGGATTTAACTTATTTGGTAGACAGTGTAACTAAATTGGATTAGTGTGTTTTATTTACTAGATGAGTTACTGAGACATTTGGAAATATCAATATATCGAATAGAGCAATGAAAGTGATTAGCAAACCACACCACAGTGAACAGTATCGTACTATGCTCGATTTTTTGATCAAAACTTTTATTAGGAATGTACAAACAAAGTATTTTAGATTATTTCGAGAAGATGAACCAATGGTTAGTCAACTAATTGATTTAGAAAAGATAACGTTTTTTATCATCACATTATTGAAGAGGGTACGTGGCACTCGACTTCAATTTAAGAAAGCATGCTGTGTGATGATTAAATTTCTCGAAAGTTGTCATAAATCTAATTTAAACTACATGGTTTATTTGAAATACGATATTCGAAAACTAATAATAGCATCATTAGTATTAAGCATAACGAATACGCACGAAGATTTTGTTAAGAAGATTTCAACAAGAGAAGCAATACATGAGTTATATTCAAAAGCAACTGGCTTACCAACAGAGGAAGTCACAAATTGTACATCTATAGTGAGAAGTGTTGTATTGAGACAAAATAGATTGCAAGAAGAATCAATAAATAAGATGAAAAGATATTTGCGGCATACCGCAGATATAAGAGATAATGAAACCAATAACAACAACAATTTGGATATAATAGTCGACCAGCAACATACATTGTTGCCCCATGACTTTACAAATCCACTAAACATTTCCTCAATCGATTCACCAAATATAATGAATAACATAGTTAGAAGTATTGGTGAAAATGATATCGCACAGTATTCTGACATCTTAGAAGGTCAATACTTTAATGAAATTAAAAACTCTAATGAAGATACTTATACAATGCAATGTGAAATAGACAAGTTCAATGAAATGGGCAAGCAATTAATACACACTAACTTCAGTGTTGTATAAATATATATATATATATATTTACTTCGATTTGATGCATAGATAGGTAAATAGATAACGGTATACATAAAATAAATAATGACAATATTTGGGAAAATATATTGGATAGAGATAGATCCAACGCAACAATATATATAACATCATAATGCTAACAGTAAGTTACCTTGGTGTCTTGATTTCTGGTTACTTTCCTTATATTTATCATCATTGTATATGAAATAGACCAGACCCATCTATTATCTGGTCGGTGCTAATATGAAAAATATTTCATATGATTATAAAAGTAATAATATCTAAAGATGAGTCAGGTTAAAGATGTTTATTTAACTAATATTAGTATAAACAGAGCATAAGGTTCGGTTGTTTGTAGTTTAAATCAGTTGCAGACTAGTAGATTTTAATGGTTATGAGTGAGGATATAAGGTTTTTCAACCAAGCAGTAGAGGCTATTGGTTCAAATTGGCTTCGGAAGGATGAGATTGATCCAAAGATAAAAGTACTTTTAAATCGTCTTCAGTTGGTAAATGTTAAGACAGTGAATATACCGAGAGCTTCACAAGGATCGTTAGGGGTTTCTGGTTCTTCTGTTAAGAAAGAAAGAGCTAGTGTGGATATGAGTTCTAGTAACAGCGGTGGTAATGTAGCGTCGTCATCGAATAAACAGAAGGTAACTAAATCTGGTACAAAGGAGAAGAATCTACCTTGTTCACAATGTAACTTGATATTCCATAGGACATCTGATGTCAGAAGACATGAAAGAACTCATCTGAAGCTATTACCCAATATTTGTACTCAGTGTGGTAAAGGTTTTGCGAGAAAAGATGCATTGAAACGTCATTTTGATACTTTGACCTGTAAAAGGAACAGGAAGAAGCTATTGAGTATGGGAGGTAATATCAAGGAGATTCTAGATGAGGTCAAACAGAATAATACAAAGAAAGCGTAATTTTAAATGTACTACTTTTGGTTTCGAAGAACGCTATATATATATATGTTTAATATGTGGAGAAAAAGAATTCAAGTGTGCGTATATGGTTCTTAATGGCTTTGGTAGATTAACACTAGTCTTTGAAAAAATGCATGGAAAATATACACATGCTAAATATGTATTGCACTTATATAATAAGTTCTAAATAATGTACTATAAGAACAAAATAATATTAAAATCGTAAAAGAGATATTAAATGATTTATTCAACGTCAGCATCGAAAGATTGACCTTCAACCAATTCTGGAATAGATTCATCCTTACCTTCAACTGGAGCATTTTCACCATCCTTCTTGGCTTGTTCAGCTAATTGCAATTGAGAAGCCAATTGAGTCAAAGCTTGGATAGAGTTAGAGTCCAATTGAGAGATGATGTTGGGGATTATTTCTTGATACCCTTTTCTTGAGGCATACCGTAGAAAACAGAAGTGTTATATTGAGAAGCAACTGAACACCAACCTTGTTGAAATGTAAAACATTACCATCTTCCTTAAAGAAGTTAGCTTCAGCAACGTTATCAATTGTAACAGCTCTCAATTTAGATAATTGATCTTGCAATTTACTGTCATCCTTGTTGCCACCACCTGAAGTAGTCTTCTTGGCCATCTTTCTTCTAGTACCACCAACCTTATTGTTGGCAGACAATTTTTGTAATTTAGCTAATTTTTCTTGGTCAATTGGCATGGTGTTTTCGTTGAAACTTTTCTAACTGGGTCTCCTTCTTCCAACAGAAACAAAATAAAAACCCTAATACACGAACTGATCCATAAATATACTAAAAGATTCAATTTGAACCTTCACTTAATCCTTTAATTTAATACAATCTATTGAAACTTTATTGCATTGCATTGGCTTAAACACTGAAAAAATTTTGATCGTTGGTAATGAAATAAATTTTCAAACGGTGGAAATAAGGATTGAATTAAAGGCTGGGTAACACCGGGTAATTAGAAACTTATAAGAGGTTCTTGATCTTTAATGTAAGAAGAGGTGACAGTAAATGATTTAATGTTAAAGGTTATGATTATGATTATGATTATGATTATTAAACTTGTGATCTATTAAAAGTTGTGGAATGTAATTATTATTATTTAGATTAAATTATTATTGTTTTTTTTTGGACTTCCTGGAGAAGAAAGAGGAAAATTGGCTCTTTTTAGTTTTTGAATTAGATGTTAATTCTGGTGACAATTCATCAGTTGCACTGCTTGTAGCTGGAGATATTGGTTTTGGATCAAATGTTGAGATGTTTGCACTTTCAATGCTTGTTTCAGACAATATGGTACCTCTTTTTTGTGTATCTAATGGTGTTAGATAGGTTTGATTTGTTGAAAGTTGAATTGTGTGTCTGTTTTTATTTTGTTGTTGAATTCTACTGTTGCCATTCATTTTAGCATTGCTCAATGTATTGAATAGCGTTAGATTTTCATTTGTTATTGGCTTCTGCTGCTGCTGCTGTTGCTGTTGCTGTAGATGATGGTTTTGAGGGATGTCGTTTGTGGAAAACCGTTTCATTGGATTCGTAGGGGTGCGACTGGACTCCATAACGGGAGGATATCTTCCTGACATACCAGATCCATCGATGATTGATGAAGTTCTAGAGATATTCTCTGGTATTTCACTATAATTAGATGGTGTTCTGGAATGTGGTCGTTGTAGGTACGAATTGTTTAATCCAGAATCAATAGACATGGACATCGTTAAGCTGTTTCTAAACGTTTCAGCTTCAATGCTGCTGGTTCTTCTTATATCTGCGAAATCACTAGTTCTATTCTTTCGACTAGTTGGCCTGATAAGTCTATGTCCATTGTTTTGATAATTATTGTTACCAGTCTGTACACTATCAGCCAAACTGCCTCTTCTATCATAATAGTGGTTGTTAGAATCAGGTTGTTGAGTGAAGTATTGTTCACTCATACTAGGAGATGGTGCATGGTATTGTGGATAATTAGATCTTTGTTGCTGTTGTTGTTGCTGTTGCTGCTGTTGAAATTCAAACTGTTTAGATTTACCCATTTTAGACCTCCTCTGAAATTCAATATCTTGTTGCTTTTGTTGTCTCATTAAATTACTGTTACCATCATTTGGATTGTAACCATTTTTCATAATACTAGTACTAGGAGTACCTCTCCCGCTTGGGATTTTTGTAATACGATTGTTATCATTGATTTCATTATATATATCTGGAGTTTCTGAAAACCTTAGGTTTTTAACTTTATTATTTGAAGTCTCTAGTTGTCTGGCACTTAGCTCATCGAGCTGATTTTGTAATATATTGGCCTCTTTATTTAAGGTAAAAGTATATTGGGTTACTTTTTTGGAATCATTCTTGATTTGAATTATACTAAAATTCTTTTCGTCTAATGAAGCTTGCAATTCATCGAATTCTTTTTTCAATCTAGCGTGAGTCTTTAATAGCTGGATGTTGCCCTCATTATTTATATTGGATCTTTCAAATAATGTGGACTCACCTTGATTCATTTTAATCATCTGTGAAATAGTAAAGTGTAGAAACTCTAATCGTGGACATTCCACTGAAAATAATTTCGCTAATGCTCTAGGCTGTGAAAGTGTCAGTTCGATATCCGATAAATATATCTGTGACATAAAATTATGTACAAGTGGGGCTGTAAGATTATTTATCTTGTTAATAAAATTTGATTTCCATAAATTATGCATTACATCTCTACTGAATTTTTCTTTTAATCCCATTTTTCCCACTAACGATATCAGTTCATCATATATGCCATTAATTGATTTATTTTCATTTAGTAATGGTTGCAATTTATATGGATCTGAAATATTAAAAAATATCATTGCAGAATCGAAACATATCCTTTGCAATGCATAGAACCATTTCTTCGATAGATATTCTGAAGGTGACAAAGAACACAATTCTATTGTATCCTTTGCTAATAATTTTTTAAATAATCTCTGTAATGACAATAATAAAGTTTCAGATCTTTCATGATACGAGGTCAGAAGGGAACCTTCTGAAGTGATTCCAATTGTTCCTAGATATATATTATTTGCATCTTTATTTTTCAAAGAGTATTCTTTGAATGAGTTGTTACTTTTATTGTATCTGATGTCATATGAAGAGATAATGCTGAAAACAGTTGTAGATGGATCTAGGTATGGCTTGATAGTAGATTCTAATGATACGTAACCTGTACTTTCTATAATAATTTTTGTATTAGTATTAACTAAATGCTGTAATTGATTGCTATTTTTTTGAAAGTCATAAACCCAGCAAGGACTTAATATTACAATATCGAATATCAAATTTTGGTTATTATATTTTATTAATAAATCAGAAACTGTTTTGAAATGATTTTTTATCTGTAAGTTTAATTTCCCATATTTTTGAGTCTCCAACTGAAAATCTGTTATATCAGAATCATAAACGTTATATAGTTCGACATTTTTAGCTAACTGCAATCGTGAAGTATAAAAAATTACGTTTGGATGGTTTCCCAAGAATAAAACTTTTAAACTTGACATAGCGAATGGATATGGGATAAAAAGTTGGACAAATGCCAAAAATAAATAAGGATATATTTAATTTCACTTAACTTCAGTTCACCACTTCTAAAAGGTTATCCTTTATAATATGAATAGGTATACAATAGATACACTTGTCTTGTAATGAATTAAACTCTAGCTTGTAATTTCGAAACTTTAATATGATTAGAACACTATATTTAGAAATAATTTGAAAATGAAAAAGAAATTTCCACTGTAACTTCTTAAAACCTGAACCACCTCTGTCTGGATCAATGAATCAATTAGTTTAATAATTAAGAAATTCAAATATATACTATAATGTACAAGTAAAACAAGATTTGTTTGAAATATAACGAATGCTATTACTAGCACTAAAAGAAATGAAATTACAAAAAAAAGTCTATATATAAAATGAACTGATCAACCTAAAGGAACCAGAAACATAATAATATAATTAATCGTTAAAAGTATATAGTACACTTCGAATATTCGTAATATTTTTTTTTGCTTGTCTTCATGTCTGGCAAGAGATGCCTTCAAAATTCGAAACTTGGTTTAGTTTTAGAGACTAAGAATGTAAGAACAATTTTCTATATCAGTAGCGTACAGCCAGTGCAAAGTGTTAGTAGAAATGAAAGGTTTTAGAGAAGTTGCTTTAGAAGAAGAAAAAAAAACCTGAAAAGTTGGTATCTGAAATTGTAACTTTTCATTCGATGGGTCTGCTGATACTTTTAAAGCTGCAGTCTTCATTAGATTCGATTCGATTGGATTGGGTTGGGTTGGGTCTAGGTTGGGTTAGATTTGATTGTATATATTGTTAAGATAGAGAGGATTATTAGCAACCAATTTGATAGATGAACAAAGTTCGAAATTTACTAAGCCTTGTACAAGAGTGATAACAGAAAAAATCGAAATATAGGTACGTTGTTACTATATTAGGACAAAATTGAAGACAATAAGGTCGGTTGGTGTCAATAGTGATCTAATTTAACCTTATGGGGCAATGTGAACATTTAGAACGGCTATTAGATGATTAGAAGTTTATATTTATATTCATATTTAGATGTATATATATATATGAGAAGTGAGTGATTAGCATTAGCTTTTTGTAATGATGGTTTTCTTAGTTTGACCATTGATGAGTTCTTGTTAGTTATCGGTTGTCAATTGTCGATTGGCTCTGTTAATAAAACTCTTGATTACTATGGGCTGTGTCTCGTGTTTCTATATTTGGCAACAAAAATTAAAATTTAAGCGAGCGTTTCTTTTGTAAATACTTTTTGGTAGTGCCGTATTAAATCGTTTCTTTTTGATATATTTATTACTTCCGGAATAAGTAATTCCTAAGCATGGGGCGTAGCAGAGCTAACTCAGTTTTGAATTCGGTGAAACTAAAAGTTGGTAGCGAGATTATATCACGTTTCTTTGTTGTGATCACATGACTCGTCATGAATTTAGATGCGATGAGATGAGATGAGATGAGATGACCAGTGATTTAAGATTGATTGATATTAATGTACTTCATTCAAGTTAAGCATATTGATCTATCAAGACCCAAGTGGTAACAGTCGATGAATCAATACATATATGTTGATATTATACTAATATAAGGGACTTTGGTGTAGATTAAGAACGTAAAAGGAGCTACATACGGGAAAGAATAATTGCTGGTGGTATTAAAGTTAATATGGGATTTGTAGCAGTTGGGTATCCGTCTAGGACGAATAAAAGAATGAAAAGAATAAAAGACAGTAATAAAAAAATATGTACTTATAACAATAATATCACTGAAAAGAATAGTAATTCATCAAAACAAAATGCCAAACGTCAAAAAATTGAAAATACTGAAAAAGTTGAAATGAAAATACGCTATGATGGATTTAATGACCTCCCTCCTGAAATAATAGAACAAATATTTGTTTATTCAAGAATTGGAAACGATTTTTTAACTTTGAATAGCTATATTTCATCATGCATTAAACCCTCTTTTTCTCTTTTTAAAAGTATAATTTGGGCAAGATACATTATTAGTACGAATGATTCAGAAAAAAATCTTATAATATCAACAAATTTATTTAACAATTCAAGATTATCTGAGTTTTTCATTGAAAACTTAGACATTTATTTACCAAAGATTAAAAACTTTGCATATCCTGAACCATTTGAAAATATTAAATCAGGTAATATTACTGATTATCCAGACCATGAAGAAAAAATATTCTTTACAGATTCAGTGATAAAGAATTTCCGTTTGTTGAATAACCATGGTTCTTCCTTTCCTCCATTACTTAGTTTTTTCAAAATACAAAATCCTTCAGATGTTTTGGTATCTCTGATAGAATGGTATTTCCAAGAATCACATAATTATTCAATCGACGAATTCTTCAGTACACTACAGGTTATTTGGAATATTGAAGAAAACAATGTAGAGTCAGTTGAACCTTTGTTGACTATAATTAGATTATTGTTTACTGATGGACGCATTCAAAATAATCTAATATCAATTCTGACAGGAAATTCGGATTATTTCAAATCATCATCACATGAGCAAATGAAATTGGCATTGATAGAGAGATATATCATTGAATTTCATTCGAGTTCGGATATGGTAACTGCACATTTATCAGATTCATATATATGGAACTTGTTAAATGAAATTTCAAATATTAAGCTTATCGATTTATTTACAAAACATGGAGCCACCCCAGCATTCGATCAATTTTTCTGAGAGTTCTCTCAATTCTGATCATTAATTAATTTCTGCATTATTATTAGATATATAATTATACATCTAACATAATTATCTCATTTCATCAACGTCTAGGTGCTTTCGACTTATTCTAGCTTGATATCAAAACTTGCATTAGGTAGCGCCTACAGTTATTGAAAAATTGATATTTCAATGCTAACATGAGACTATATAACTAGCCTTTACAAGAAGAACTGTAGGTTTTAAGAGCTTTCAAACATGTAAGGTTCCTATATATCTGGAGGATAGGGCCAGATGATTCGAATTCTTCTTAGGAGTGGTTATTCTCGAAGGTCGTATTCTAATGTTGTTCCTCCAAAAATTTTCAAGAATTCAAATTGGCTAATTAAAAAACCTGTATTTAAATATTTACCAAAGGAAGAATTGGATAAAGACAAAATTAGATTTGATTTGAATCTAAAGAAATTGGATCCTAATAGTATATATTCTAAAGATTCCCAATTCAAGTCTTTGTTGGATAATGTATTACAGTACATTTTTAACAAAAAATGTATTTCATTTGCTGTTAATGAAGCATCAATGAAATTCTATACATGGTTGAAGTTAAGAAATTATATATATGAGCAATTGAATGATAAAGAGTTGGATTCAAAAATTAAGAAATATGAAGTGGGCATAATGGAAACGATTAGACCAACAAAGCCTTCTGATTTACTTTGCCAGTTGATTAAAGTGAACGAGATTAATGATGTGAAATGGAAAATAATTTTACAAGATTCTGTTAGTAATGATAAAATAACAAATTTTGATAAATATTTATATCTGATATCAAAAACATTTGACCATATCAATTTCAATGAAATCACACCAAATTTATTACCTTCTTTAGATACTTCGAATAAAATCGATATTCAGAAAAAATTTGAAATACCAAATCCAATTGAATGGTTTCCAGAAGCAAGAAAGATGAAGCGTACTATAATCATGCATCTAGGTCCTACGAATTCAGGAAAAACTTATAGAGCACTACAGCGTTTAAAACAAGCCCAAAGAGGCTATTACGCTGGACCTTTAAGATTATTGGCAAGAGAAATTTATGATCGTTTTAGGTTGGAAGGACATCGTTGTAATCTTTTAACAGGGGAAGAAGTGATTACAGATTTAAATTCAATTGGTACCCCAGCGGGTCTAACTTCAGGAACAGTAGAGATGGTTCCTCTTAATAGACAGTTCGATGTACTTGTCCTTGATGAAATTCAGATGTTAGCCGATCCAGAAAGAGGTTGGGCTTGGACAAATGCAGTGCTAGGAGCAAGAGCTCATGAAATCCACCTGTGTGGTGAAAAAAGTGTTCTGCCACTAATTAAGAAAATTGTAGATATTACGGGAGATAACCTTATTGTTAATGAATATGATAGACTAGGGAAATTAGAGATAGAATCTGACGTATTATCTAGAGGTCTACGAAGTCTGAGAAGAGGAGACTGTGTGGTAGCATTTTCGAAAAAGACTATATTGGACTTAAAATTAAAAATTGAAAAGCAAACTAAACACAAAGTAGCTGTAATTTATGGTTCTTTACCTCCAGAAACAAGATTACAACAAGCAAATCTATTCAACTCTGGTGAGTATGATGTTTTGGTGGCATCAGACGCCATTGGCATGGGTTTGAACTTATCTATAGATAGAATTATATTTACGACCGATACCAAATTCAATGGGCGTGAAATGATCAGTTTATCATCATCCAATGTTAAACAGATTGCAGGTAGAGCAGGCAGGTTCAAACAAGAAAATAATGGTAAAAATGGTAACTCTACAGTTGGGTATGTGACAAGTTTCGATAAAGAAGTATTGAAGTCAGTTAAAAGAGGGTTAGAGCAACCTATCGAATATATAGAGAGTGCTGTTATTTGGCCAACTGACGAAATCAACACACAAATCCTAAATAAATTGCCACCCAAGACGGAATTATCTGAATTATTAATTGAGATATCTAAAGAACTGAAGAAATCCTCTAATAATATGTTTATGTTAACCGACTTACGAAACCGGTTAAATCTAATCGAGGTGTTCAAAGAAGTTGATGGTATCCCATTAAATGACAAATTAAAGTTGAGTAATGCACCGATGAAAGATCTACCATTAGTAAGGCTTGCATTTAAACAATTCTGTGAAACCATTGCCAATAGGAAAACTAAAACAATTCTTTCATATAATCTTCCATTCGAACTGTTAGACTTTGATTGTATTTACGATGACAAATACGGATTAGACATGTACGAGTCATTGTATAATATTATTACATTATTCTTATGGTTAAGCAATAGGTATCCTAATTTTTTCGTTGACTTGGAATCAGCAAAAGATCTAAAAATTTTCTGTGAATTAATAATTTATGAGAAACTAGATAGATTGAAGAAAAATCCATACCAAAGGGGATTTCAAAATTCTATTAATATTGGTAAAACATTTAGAATGAGAGAGACTCTAGTTAAAAAGAATAGAGGTTGGCAAGATCGAAAATTAAATAGACAAAAAAGAATCATGTAAATATATAGTAACATAATAGTAATAATAATGCATAGTAGTGATCGATATCAACATCAGTATCAGCTCAGCTCAGCTCAGCTTCAACGGACAACAGTTCCCCCTCCCCCTCATCCTTACTGCCCCACAATTATATCTTCAAAAATCTCTCACTTTGCCTTGCCTACCAACTTAATCACAATCACAATCAGTAAGATTACCAAGAGTAGGCTAGCAAGATATGTGTCGTTACAGAACAAGAAGACACCAACCCACAATTGAACAAACAATAGTCGAAATGCAAAGAGTAAGCATTAAATTGTTCACAACCGTTAAATAACAATTATTATAACTCCGACCAGTAGTACCAACCAAATTTTATTCCTCTAAAAGGCATCTCTATATCTCTCTCTACATAATAGAGCCAACAAAGGTATAACCAAGATCAAGAAGAAACCAAGTCTAACTGACAAAGATATAAAGAAAAAAATAATACCCTCTTGATTGAATATGACTAGGCTGAACCTTCAAACAACCAAATCCAAATCCCATCCTGTTAAAAATGTAAAACAATACACGTTATACCAAGTTGTTGTTACATTAGACTGGAATGGTTGGATAATTGAAGTTTCTCCTTAAGAAAAGGCCCATTTTTACAACTTGACAAGACGTAATCAAACGGTTGCCCTTCTGTAATGTCTTAGGTCTTGGGTAATTGTCTCTGTTGAAATTATAGAATGGTCTCTTGTTAATTGCAACAACAACAACAACCATTCTGCTGCTGCTAGCCTAGGCTAACTCTCTTGTATTTAACGAGAAAAGAACTATAGATATATAGATATATAGATATTCTGGGCCTATCCAGTGCTACTTGATGTAGATTTGAAGCAAAGACTGCTGCTCTTATGAACTTTCGAACTCGATTACGAACTCGAAAGTGTGTAGGATTCTTTTTTTGGTTGTTTCGAAATTTATAATACCGTTTGTTGATATCTTTTTATTCAGACTTCATTAGAGGATATATATCTTTCTCTTGTCTTATTCGAAGGTTTTTGCTTAAATTTACATGATTCGAAATAGTCTTTTGATTTGTTATATATATATAAAGGACCAGGAATTTGTCTATAATGGTCTCACTTTGATAGTTTGAAATAGTACTTCTTGTATTTCCTCTTATTTATCATGTAGTTTATTCTTTTGTTTGGTTTCAAACAGTAAAGGAGGAGCATTTAGCAAAACTATTTGATATATTTAGCATTGATTTCAATTGTATCTATCTCTGTCTAGTTTTGTAGTTTGATTATTTTATAAATTGTATTAGTTACTTAGTTCCATTGATTTTGGGGGAACTGATACTTTGTAGTATATATATATACATATACATATTTCTCTATTCCAATTGAAGGGTCTGGGGTAGGAAGAATTAATTCTTTTGTTTTATTTTTGGTGTCTATACTGTTTCGATAATGGCTATAAAAGTGGTTGTCCTAGGTGGTACTGCAGGTACTGGTAAAACTAGTATTGCAGAAGTATTATATGAAAACTTGAAGCATACTAAGGATTATTCAGGTGTTGAATATATCGAAGGTGACCATTTACATCCAAAGAGCAATGTTGAAAAAATGGCTCATGGTATTCCATTACAGGATGAAGATAGATGGGGTTGGTTAGAACAAGTTTCCAAAACTTCAACAGAGGCTGCCAAGAAACATAAAGGTTTATGTGTTATTACTTGTTCGAGTTTGAAAAAGAGTTATAGAGATTATATAAGAACTACTTGTCCTGAAACTCATTTTTACTTTGTTATACTTTATGGTAGCAAAGAAGAGATTTTAAATCGATTGGAAAACAGAAAAGGTCATTTCATGAAGGCAAATATGATGGATTCTCAATTTGCTGATTTGGAATTGCCAAAGCCTGATGAACCTGGTTGTCACATTGAATATTTAGATGGGAAATCTTATGAAGAAATTAACAGAGATACCTTAGATACTGTTTGTGATCTATTGCAAATTGATTCAACTTAAATTAATTGATGATGATCTTACGAAATTTTTATGTGCACTATCTTACTTATTTGGGTCCCCATGTTGTCATGATAGTTACACAGACACACATACATATACACACATTCATGTTATATCAACGTCTCTATATGATTAAATAGTAGTATCTGTAAATATTTAAATATTCGATAATGAAATGAAAAAGTTTATAGTGATTTAAGTATCATTAATACCCATCTAGATCGACTTAACTAAATATTGTAATTATTCACTTGTTAATATGAATAATAATAGATATATGAATTATAATTTCGGTTCATTAGGATTATATCATTATTTGTAATTATTTATATGTGATTGAATTATAGAACGAAAAAAATTATAATAATTATAACAATAGAAAAGATTTAAAGTTATTACAACAAATGTTTACTATTATGGGAGGGGAATTAAATGAAGTACAGTATTTATTTTATTTAACTTCTGTTTGATAGCAAGTTAAATTAAACACTTCACCAGTAATTGTCTGATTGATTTGTGACAGTAGGCATGCTCATTTGTAAATATTGTAAACTGTTCTGGAATGGATGGTATTGTGCTTGAGTATCCATTATGCAATTATTTGTTAGATCACCTTGTTCATCTCCTCTCTTCTTATTCTTATCGTCATCTTCCTCGTTATCATTTTCATCCTCTGAATTATATGGAGATGCATGTGCTGAAATGTTTAACCCAGTAGATTTATTTCGAAGGAATGCATCAGTATCTTTTTCCTTACCAGGTGATTTATGACCATTATAGTACAGATCATTGATTTTGAGTATACCATTGTCTGTCTGTAATTTTTTAAAGCTTGAATTTGTATCAAGAATTGTGTTATTATCGTTAGTGCTATTGGGAGAAGTTGTTTCATTATCTGTCAAATTATTTTGGGAAGTTTCACTTAATTGTATTGTGCTAGACTCACCAAAAATAAACGATCTATACTGTTCGACGGTCAATGCAGGCACTTCATTCAGTGGACCATCTTTAGTTAGAGATGTCACTTGACTGACTTCATACATCAGTGTAGTTAAATCTATTCTATCATAGGGATTTATTTGTAATATTTTTGACAATAAGGTATATAAATCATCCGATAACGGTAAAATCTTTTTCAAAACAGCTTGATCCTGTGTATAGTAATGGAAAGTTTTATCATCATTTCTATGGGCTTTTGACCAAGGATTTCTTATGCATGTTAAATTGATCAAAATGATACCAATTGACCAGATATCACCAGTTGCAGTTGGATACAAATCCAATGGATTTGTGCACAATACTCTTTCTGGTGCCATATAATAAGAAGATCCCACGCATACGTTTGGTGCCAAATAATCTGAAGTAGTAGCTAAACCAAAATCACATAGTTTAACATTATCATTTTCATCTAGTAAAATATTTTCAGGTTTAATATCACAATGATACACACCCAGTTGGTGACAATATTGTAGTGCTGAACATAATTGTAAATAAACTTTCTTGATTAATAAACCATCGTTTTCGAAGTGATGGTTTTCAACAATGGAAGTGAACAAATCGTTTGGGAAATAATCCATTACAATAAAAGTTGCCAAAGGAGACTCTAGTACTTGATGTATAGTAACTATATTTTCATGTTGTTGTACTTTCAAATGTAATGCTATTTCTCTATAATGTGGGACTGTAGCTTGTAGTTGATCCTGAGTTAAACCTTCTATTGAGCTTAATTCAGTGGTTGGTAAAAACAGTTTATTTTGGAAAGTTTTGAAATAATGATACAGTTGTGTTAGTAGTACGTTACTCTTCTTCATATTACCAGTAGCTGAAATCGAGTTGACAGGGTTGAAAGAAGAAGGTTTAATTACTGCCTTGATGGCATAGTCCTTTTCAGTTGTGACATCAGTAGCACGAAACACTACACCGTAAGCACCAGATCCGATTTGAGAAGTGAAGAGATAATTGTTTATCTGACAATTAGTCAACATTTTTAATTCGGTATGGATCTGAGTACACTTTAAATAGTCTGTATTTTAAAACTCAATTGAAAACGATGAGAAAGGAACGTCGTTTCTTAAAATGTTGAATATGCTGAACCAAATGAATGATGGTGAGGGTATCTGACAAAATAAAAGAATGAAGAGGAAGTGGAATCTTTTACTTTATTATAAGAAATATAATGCAGTTTTTGTAATTATGAAGTGAAACAGGTTAAGGACTTCTCTTTCTTGTAAAGTTTTGAAGAAAACAAAAATAAAATGAAAAATTATCGTAGTGGTATTGGTATTGGCGAAGATGGTGGTAATCCCAACGTGATAGATAACCTAGCTAACTCGATAAAGGGAACAACAAGTGAAGTATAATTCTATTTAGATTAAACTGCCAACCAAAAATAAAATATAATATAACAAAATAAAAATATTTTGCTATCCAATCTCAATATATAAATTAATTTTTTTTATATTTTTTTCTTTTATAACTGATTTAGATTAGATATATGATTATAAAACCAATAAAAAAAATTAACTGGAAATACCAAAAAGATGAAAACCCAAAGCTTCCCAGTCCTGATTAAGTATTATCAATAAAGTAGTCTTATCCCAAGACAACAAACCCAGAGAATAAAAATGTATACAATATCAATGTATATATACTTTTATGATTATTTTATTATGTAGAAAATAAGAAAAAAAAACTTTCTTATTCTTGTTTCCTTTGCTTTACTTTCTAATGCTTGAACAGCTCCTACACATACAAATACAGACACTATCTCAATATAGAATCGAATACCCAAAAACACATCAAAAGGTCAAACCAAACAGTTGAACCAACTAAAATATATAGTCTTGAGTTCCAACCCATCAATCATTCAATGAATATATTTTCAAATTCCATTTGAGCATAATTTTTCACAAAGGAACTAACCGTAACAAGAAATTTCATCTCATCGATATCCCAACAGACCAACAACAACAACAACAACATCACAAGAGACATTTGGCAAGAGGATGTGGTAATATGTCACTACTCTGAAAGCTTTGGATTGGAATTGGGATGGTGAAGATAGAGAGAGCTTGATTGAATAATTAGCTAATTAGCTAATTAGATAGTTTATAGAACTCTAGTCTACGTTAGCCAAGTTTGGAGGGCAAGGGCAGTAGAATCAAATAGGAGGTGAGACAAGTTTGTTCAGCTTCAGCTTTAGCTTCATCATCGAGTTGAAGCTGAGAAAGAAAGAGAGAGAGAGCTTTGAGCAAGACGAGAAAGGACAAGACAAAATAAGACAAGGCAAGGCAAGACCAGATATTTGTTGTATTGCGGTGGTAGTGAGCACTTAATAGTAACAGAGCAATAGTGAAAATAAAAATAAAAGTAAAAGTAGAAGTGAAAAAAAAACCATTTTCTGTTTAACTAGACAGCAAAGGTTTCAAGCCAACAGTGTTTGAAAAAGAACTGGAGAGACCTCTAAAATGGTACTGAAAACACACACACGGTTGGGATTTCATCTCTGGGCTACTTGAGTTGAGTTTTAGTATATAGCTAGAGTTTTATACTGTGTGATATGCAATTTCAGTTGCATTGTAAGTAGAAAAAGATACAACAGACCGTTACAGTTCCACTTCTTCTTCTCGTCGTGGGTGTTATCTTGTAGCACAAACACATCTCATTTTAAAATTACATATATCCTCTAATGATTATTCCACTTACCTCTAATTTACTCTCTTGAAACATTTCCATCTATTACATAAAAAGAAGTGTAACTGATTGATTAATCCTTCTAAATTAAACTGGGATAATTACCTATGGACTACTAGATTCATTTGTTTGTATGCATGTATGATGTGTGTGTGGGTGTCTTTCATCACTTCACCTCTTATTCTTGTTTTATGATAACTAGACCTTCCTCACTCACCAAAAGAAACTATGTATTAGCGTTGCACTGCTTGCTTTTTTGACATCACTGGATTTTTTATATATCTATTACTTGCTTTACAACTACAGTTTAGACCCATAATCAAGTTGCAATAAACAGATGTAGCTTTAAGCCACCTGTACAAGAAGGTGTGATGTATTTTTTTTAGTTTCCTTCTTCATCTAGTGCTATATTATCTAATACGTTGGTTTTGACACAAATGAAAGGAGAACAGGACTTCAAAACGTAGTGAAATATGTCATCTTCTAGTTCATTTTAGGTATCATCAATGCTACGTTGTACCATATCTCTTATATTATCTCACCCTGTGGGTGAGATAATATAATAGTAGTGATAATGATGATAATGATGGTGATAATAATAGTAAATAATGGAATAGATGTACTAAATAAGCTTGACCTATATCTGTCGGAAGAAATCGGTTATACCTCATCCGATCTTGTTTAACTATACTTGATTTAATTATTCAATATTTTTGCTTAATCTGTCTACTCACTGGGTAGTGGTCACTGATTAGTGCAAAGTGCAAAGCACTCTCTCTTTATGCTTCATCTCTCTATCTATCTATCTCTTTATTCCGTCCTTCCCCCATGGAATCAATACTACTCTTTACTTAGAGTAGCATTTGGTAAAAGTATAAATCAGTCTATCTTTTGGTTCCCGTGTTGATCTTGTCCATACTTGTTACACTGGCTGTAAATTGATATTAGCATTACTAAGTCTATTCTATAAAAACAAGAACTAGATAACTCCTACGCTTTGGTTATCTTTTGTATCGATGTGTGGTTTCCCAATTTGGCTCTCTAGTTATTTCTTAATAGGCTCTCTCTTGTAAGATATTGGATAACTGTTTATTCACCTATCCATTCAATACATTATAATTCCTGTTTTCTCTTTAGACCTTGACAAATTCGTCAAGTTGTCCTCTACTAGCATCAAATAGTCTTGCAATTTTATTCCTGTATAAAGAAACTACAAAGGAAAAGTGGGAAGAAAAAGATATTATGTTGTTCTTTAATAGTTTCATTACGTTAGTTACAATTTATTAATTTCAAGTAGTGCTTTCATAGAGGAAAGAATTTGTTATCTTGGTAACAAAAACTTGTGCATTCTATCGAAACAACTGCCATAATCACATCCGATTCTTTTCCTTTACTGGATAATAAACTTTGCAAGCACTAAATCTTTCTATTTCTATTTCTATACCCTTTCTTCTACATAACGTGAACTTTAATATCCCAGTTCTCTAGAAGCATGTCTAGACATTTTTTATTAAATTTTAGCACTAATTGTATATTGCTTAGTCCAATATATTTAAATGCTTGTTTATCTTTAGATTTAACTATTAATATAGTTATGCTGAGAAGTTAATGGTAATGTTTTTACCACAGTTTAAAGTAAAGTCAATGTTTTCTTATGTCACTACTTCATCACTTTCTTTTTGAAACATCACAAGTATTAACTGGCTTTGACTGTTATTATCTAAGGTTGCTAATCCATAATGTTTTCCCTAATCTTATTCGTAATCTTTTCTCTCAATAAACTTTAAAATTGGGACTAGATAAATCTCTCTCTATGATAATTATTATATGGCCTTCAGTAGAAAACCGATATTTGTTTAATTGTGTCTAAACTGTAAATGTTTCTTTCTTACGGTTACAGACAATATATTTCACACTCCTCCATCTTTCTCATATCTCTCCATTGAAAGTAACAGTTATAACCTCAAATGTAACTGATCGGACTTAGACCTTAAGATAATTGGATGTTTTTGCATTATATTTCATAAACCCGATAGTAATCAAGAAATCAATGCTCACAAGAATAATCATTAACTTTCCTAGATTGTAAAATTAATGATTGATCAATTTTACAATATTTGAGTAGGCTCTTTCAAAAGATTTTGATTACTTCTTTGGACGATAATTCAACTGTATCATTAACAATAACAACAGTAATAATAATAATAATAATATTACAAATTTAATCTATATATCCATTTATTTATCGATCTAAATCTAACATAACGCGTCCGATAAATGCTAAATAAGTTATCACTTTTGAACTTTTATCAATTCCCCTAATATCTGACTTCTTAACTCAATTAACTTCTCTAATTGTTGAATTACTCGAATATCGATATTTGGATCAGTTAGAAGTAGCATACAATCAAGTTCACTTGGGAACAAATTAGGGATGCTTGATAATTTTTCAAAAACATTTGTTGTTTCTTTAGAATTCTTGCTATTAGCACCCTCTTCATCTGTAACATTAGCCAATTTAATACTTTTTTCAATTATTAAATTCACCAATTCAATACACGAGGATGAGATTGAAACGAAAACATGTTTTAAGTATTGCACATCCTTGTTGGTATCGCTATTAGTTGGGTTATTAATTTTTAAAATATTTTCACTTAATCTCTTTAAATTACAGCCAATGTTTTCTTCGAATAATAACCATTGTAAAGGTAAGTTTTTTCCATGCTTTTTCTTTTTATCTTCCTTGATCATCTTCACCAATGTAATCAAAGAAGTTAAACTTTGTAATATCATCGGAGCTAGACCTTCTATCATATTTGGCATCTGACTGACTTGATTAAACGGAATGATAGATATTAAGAATGAAAAAACATCATTAAATAATCTATACGGATCACCATTGTTGTAAGCACGGATTAATCTTTCAGTTATTTTAACATCTTTATTTTTTCCATCAACTTTTTCGAAATCATTAAATAGTACCATCTTGAAAAGACCTCTATTAGGTGTTTCTAAAGATAATAATTTTGCTAATACATCCACGCCAAAGCTTTGGTACTTACCAAGTTCGAGAGGATATTCACTATAAGTTAGTGAATCAGATCCCAAGCTTCTGTAGTCCGTTTTAGGCTGGCCAAAACTCATCAATAATAACAAAATTAAAAATGAATCAGTCACAGATTCCAGTCTATACTTATGAGCGATATTTGAAAAGAGTGACATTATGTCTTTCTTTAAGTTGAAGCATTTTCGATTAAAAGTGAACATTTCTGGATTTGTTATCAAACACCACAACAGATCAGAAAAAAATCTTTTCATATAGAAATTCTTAACCATGTACTTGATATTTGTTTGGGAAAATGATATATTTCTCAAAATCATAGATATAGTAGATATTTGGTCACAAACTAAAATTCTTGGGTTTTCTGCACCTCTGGCGTTAACTTTGGTGAATGGAGTATCAACCTCTGTTCTAACTTTCCTTAATGTCTCTAGACATGAAGTTAATTGAAGTTCCGCTAAATGCTGATTAGACTGGTACCTTATTGGAGGAGGTAAATAGCTCCATTTCTCATTATATTTTTCCTTTAACTTATAACTTTTTAATTCAGACGACTCATCATTGAATAAATTTAAGTCATTCATGGGTGTTTGTGCTGGTGTTAGCATTGGGGGAACTTGATTGATATCGCGGCCTGTCAAAGAATCAACTGTTACTACAACAGATTCAGGAGAACTGGAAACTGCATTATTTTCGATGTACTCTTTGAATATGTTATCCATCAACTCTTCGGAGGAAGAATAAGAAGTGAAATCTCTGGCTAAAAATGTTTTGACATCATACTCTTCACAATGAGAACTATTTAACTGTTCATTTCTTAAAGACTTTGGATTAGATGAAAGATTGGTTAATAATTTTGTACCCAAAACAGATAAAACGTCCAATAACTCTAAACATTTATCAAGAGATATATCCAATGAAACATCAGCACTAATTACTAGTAATGTGTTTAATGCAGTATTGGTTTCCCCTAGATTAGATGATTCTAAAGACCTTGATAATGCCTTTAAATTCACAGTACCTAGTTCTGGAGCGAATAAAAAGATTGGCTTATTGGCATCGATCTTTTCACCAATTTGTGAAATATGATTGATATCGTAGCCGCTCAAAAATTCAGTTGGTCTTGAGGTTGGAACATAATTTGTTCCCACAGTTCTTATATATTTTTTAGGGAGTTTCTTTAGTTCCTCATCATATTTTTTCCTTAATAACTCTTGCTGTTGGCGCATCTGTTGTTCCACCAACGCCTGCTGTTGCTTCTGTTGTTCTTCAATGAACTGTTGCTGCTTTCTTTGTAGTTCTTCAGCCTGTTTTTTCTCCAATTCTAACTCTTTTTTAGTTTTCTTCTTTTGTCTTGGCTTTCTTGGTTTCTTAGGTTTAGTAACAGCAGCAGCCTTCTGCTTGTTCATTTGAGTTGTAGGAATGTCTGCAGATGGAGTATTTACCACACTAGAATTGATGCTGCCAGGCATTTGTTGGATTTGTGGAACAAATTGAGGACTTTGAGAAGCCAAACCTTGATTTGGTATTTGTTGTGGTTGTTGCATTGGAAGTTGCATTGGAAGCTGTTGTGGTTGTGGTTGTACTTGTGCTTGTGGTTGTGCTTGTGCTTGTGCTTGTGCTTGTGCTTGTGCTTGTGCTTGTGCTTGTGCTTGTGCTTGTTGTTGATGCTGTTGTTGTTGCTGTAGCTGTTGTGGCTGTGGTTGACGTGGCTGCTGCATTTGTTGGTGTGTTTGCTGATCTATTTGTTGCTCTTGCTGTTGATTTGAAGTATTCATTGAAACTTGGGCTTGTTGTTGTGAAGTAAACATTTGAATTCTCTTTAACATTTCTTGGAAAAACTGCTGTAAAAATACTTTTTTGGCTTGAGTTTCCTTAATACCATCTGCTGAAACTAGATACTTTTCATAGGGAGATATTATTCGATAATATAGAGCGGCTAGTTTCTGTGAATCTGAAATTTGTAATCTTTGGGCTAAAAGTGGCCATTGTTGGTTTCTAGAAACTTGATCACCACCACCAAATCGTTGGATTAGCATAAACAATATAAACAAGTTGATCTTCTTACCTTGGATTTCAGGAATTGATTGAAGTGCAATGTTATTCCTTTTACAATTTTCCACAAGAGATTTCATGAACAATTCGTATTGTTTATTATTTAATTCTGCTGAGACTCTACGTTGCAATTCTGGACTTAAGTTTGAAAGAGAAGGGTGACTTTGGTGAATAGATGAATTTTGAGATGGCGTAGGCGCGTTTGAACCATCTTGAGATGGAACTTGAGGGCTTCTTTGTTTAGCATTCGATTGGCCTTGCAGTGATAATTGTTGTTGCTGCTGCTGCTGCTGTTGTTGTTGTTGTTGCTGTTGTTGCTGTTGTTGCTGCTGTTGCTGCTGTTGTTGTTGCTTTTGCTGTTTCTGCTGCTTTTGCTGTTTCTGCTGCTTCTGCTGTTTTTGCTGCTTCTGCTGTTTCTGCTGTTGCATTTGCTTCTGCTTTTGTAACTGTAGCTGCATTTGCTTCTGCATTTGCAGTTGCATTTGTTGGAATTGCTGCTGAGAAGATTGACCAGGAGTGCTAGCTTGAGATTGACCTCCCTGACCTTGCATACTTTGAGATTGTTGATGTTGCTCTTGCTGCTGAAACTGCTGTTGCTGTTGTTGCTGCTGCTGCAGCTGTTGCTGTTGTTGTTGGAATTGTTGTTGTTGCCTCTGCTTTAGAAGATTTATCATTGCAGCCCTGTCTGCTGTTATATTATTTTGATTCCCGCCATTATTTATTTTTTGTAGATTTCCAGAGCCAGCATTTGAATTGCCCATATTCCCTGCATTCATATTCATTTGGTTGTTTGTATTCATGGGGACATTCATATTATCAGAATTCATCATTGGAGATTGTACATTATACTGTTGATTATTAAAATTTTGATACATTCTTGATTGATTACCATTTGATAGTATTTGTTGTGGTCCTAAAGTACCTGAAGATCCTGGCGTATTGTTTGCCGAAGTGTTACTCTGCATAGAAGGAGACATGATATTATTTGCATTTATATTTGCCTGGTTTTGCATGCCCATTGGAGAGAACATTTGTTGTGGGGACATAGCCATCTGGTTTGGCATAGAACCACCAGTGATTGAATTTCTTGCTAGAATCACTTGAGGAGATAAAGTATTATTATTAGCATTTGTAGTATCAAATGGAGTTCCACCTGCAGTATTGTTTCCAAATGATGGAGATCCTTGAGCAGTAAAATTACCAGACATTGCCATAGGGGAAGCATTATTCTCAGGAGCCATCCCAGTCTGCTGTATGCGGTTCTGTTGGAAACTCGAACTCTCGAATAAGCTTAAGAAATCATCAGCATTATCGTTCGAACCACTTATATCATTGAAAAAGTCCATTCTTCTTAGATAGATCTATCTATTGTTTGTAATTATTTGTCTTTAAAAAGTATCACAGCAAAATGTATAGTATAATAAAATTAAATTATTATTGAAATTTGAAAAATACCACACGATGTATAAGTATAATTCCACAGAATATAATTATAAATGAATTACAAGTACGATATTATTCAAAAAATGAAGTTGTGTCTTTTCCTTACCTGTATTATACTTCAATTTAATCACTTAACAGATAACGATATCGCGAAATAGTTTTTGCAAAAACTTGTTAGTCCAACTACCACGTAATAAAAAAGGGACAACCAAAAAGTAAAAGAAACTGATTCAGATAACTTAATATATACCTCTATTCGAAAGTATATCAATAATCCCAAACTAGAAACTATCCTTTGTTTTTAATTTATTAAACGTCCCTGTTACTTTGTTTATCATTTAAACTCTCACTTCTTATTATCAATTTCGATATTTCTCGGTTTAAACTTTTGGTTTTCGTTGCTTTTACAAATCACGTGATCTGGTGATTAATATAAATCAAGAACAAGATATAAAGTGATGCCATTGATATTGATGTTGAGACGGTTGGCAGTAATTTATAGATGGTTAAAGGTGTCTTATTGAACAGTAATGATGATCTGTGAGTTTTCTTTTGATATTTCATATGAATCTTAAAGCAAAGAAATTGTAATCGTAGTTAATGCTATTATATTTTGGTTTACTTAATGTACAAACTAATGTTAATAAGATATATAGAGAGAGAGAGTGAGAGCAAGAAAGGATATATGTAAATGTATCTCCTTTTCTTAGATTAATTTAATATATTATTTTGATACTTAATTTTCCCCCCTTATTTCAACATCTTGCTGGAATGTTCAGGAGAACAATTTTGAATACCACTTGGATTGGAATTTTTCCATCAAAGAAGTGTAATGGCTCATTTCACCCCAACAATCTCTACCAAAGTTACAACCTGCCATGTTCACAACAAAGTCTCTAGCTCCCTCGTTATAGAAGAATCTTGGATCATCGCTGAATTCGGAACAGGCACCAGGTGGGAAAGCATTAATTGCTCTTAAGGGTAAGAATCCTACCCTAGAACGAACCCATGCTTGAGATGCATATAAACTTTCTAATGTATCTTGTTCCTTGTGTTCCCATACCATGTGTTTTTGCTCGTATGCGACAGGCTCGAACCATATATCTAATAAAAGTTTCGACCAATCACTATTTCTAATTAAAAATGAACCCAAGTTAAAACCACCACAATCTTGAGTTATTAATAGATCGATTTGTTCTGTGTAATCGACATAAGGTATATCTACTTCTATCTTTAATGGGTTAAAATGGTTCAAAGTACGGTCTACTAATTCATCTAATCTTGAAAAAATATGGTCTTCCAGTGAACGATCTGGTTCCATGATTAATGTATCTAAATCTAACCACCAGAACCATTCTGCATCAGGGAATTCTCTCATAGTTTGCTTCAAGATATCAACTTTCTGCCAACCTTCTCTATATTCGTGAGAGTACCTTTTTGAAACAGTTAAATCTTTTAAAGTTAAAGCGTAGCCGTGTCTTTTAGCGTAAGCCATCTTGTTGTTTATAGAGATACGTTCGATTGACCATTCTTGTTCATTTTTCCATCTCAAAACACCACCACCGTCGTTTGCAGCCAGAATGATAACAATTCTAGGATTTGGATTCCAAAACCAAGAAATTGGATTCTTCCAACTGAATTTTCTTGAAGAAACAGAGGATGGTAAATCGCCATATTTCAATAAAGTATCTTCATTGAAACCAGAAGGATTATTTGCAACTTTTTTTGAGTTTTTAATAGAATTACTATTGTTATTAATTTCATTAATTGAAGGGTCTTGTAACCATTGGAATAAGAAAATAATACCAAAAAGTATAGCGAATTTGGTTTTATGTCTACTTATAACCTGTGAAATTCGCCTTTGCCAGCTGTTTGGTTTATTCTGATAGTATTTCGAAGACGATCTTATATTTTTTTTTTCTTCCTCTTTCACACCACCATGAGATAAAGGCAACTCATAGCTATTACTTGACATCTCTGTGTACTTTTTTTTTTGCTTGAATTGATCCTAATCGATAGACTTTGACTGAAATATTCTTCTGTCTATTGTGCGTTTGTATGTGTATCTCTCTATCACTCCAGATTTAGGTTCTTCTCTTATAGAAATGGAAATATTACCAAATAACAAACCCCCAACAATGTATCCTTGAATCACCCCACTGATACCCAATAGGCCTTGACAAAACACAAACTAAAATAGTACTGTTGCGATAGCAAATATGATCTAATCTAGTCCAGTATATCAACTATTAAACTTTTCTTGTAGTTTAACTTAAAATGAAAATATTGACAGTCTGGTTTGGTTTCCTTTCGATTTCGATCAATTTTTCAGTGTTGGTCTACTATGGAACAAAGGGCAATTGTGAGAGAAAGTGGTGCAGAGAGACAAATTTGAAAAAAAAATAGTATCAGAATCTAAAACATCATAGAGAGAGAGTGATTGATGAAGGTGAAGGTGAAGGTGAAGGTGATGAGAAGTTGTTGTTGTGAAGCAGTGTTTCGACAACTGCAACGATCTCGAAATTACATTTGGATCATACACGTCATTGGGGGGATTATGCTTGAGAGTAGGGTCTCTAGGTTGTGTGGTCCTGGAACTTTTGTATCGTATGAAATAAGGTTTTCTTGGTATTGTTTCGATAAATGCCTAGTGGGATAGATTGAGGTTCAAGAAAGACATTTGATCTTTTTTGGTCTTGGTTTTGATCTTGGTCTTGATACAGGATCAATGCATGGGCGACTGATGACTTTATATATTTTACTTCAAGTACTATTTTTTATACTAAATAACTGATCTTATCTTCTTGCTTCAACAACCAAAACAATACAATTATTATATAAACATGAGAATGTATGGATACATATGTATCTATAAAGTGATTGTAATAGAGGTGCGTTGATGAGAGATAGAGAATGGGCCCTTGTAATGTGGAAATGGGGGAACTTAGAACTTAAATTCTGTGCGGAACTGATCCAAATCCATCCCTGGTAAAACTTTTACCATTAAATCGTGTCTATCCATCCCCATGAACGCTCTCTTCAACGTTTCCATGATATTGTTATTATACCCATCCGATAGATTGTTGAGATAATTAGATTTCGATCCCTTCAGACCTTCTACCTCATGCATACTAAGCGCTGTCAACAAATATTGAGCAGCTTCCTTGTAGCATCCAATATTGATAGATGAAACCGCTAGATTATAACGAGCTCTCACAAACGATGGTTTTAAATTTAATGCTTTATGATACGCTTGTATCGCTTCTTCTGATCTATTGGAATTGGCTAGTGAAGCCCCCAATCTGTTCCATAATAATTCATCATTTGGTGAAACTTTTAATGCAGCTTTGAAACAATCGATGGTCTTATCGAATTCATTGTTTGAATAAAATAACAAGCCTAGTCCTAATTGTACATCAGCATCTGCTGTCTCTAGTTTGTTAGCAACTTGTAAAAATTGTTTTGTCACAATTTCATTCACCACGTAACGATCTTGATCCGAATCTAATTCGATGCCATGAGTATTTTCCAATAGATGAGGATACCTTGTTTCAATCCATCTATTCAACATGGTAAATGCACTAACATCGTAACCTTCGTTTACATAACTGATAGCTAGATTCTTCATTGCCTCTAAATTCTTTGGGTCTAATTTCAAACACTTTTCTAATGCAGTAATACCATTGATTTCCTTTTCATTTTGGATTTGTACTAACCCTAACTTTAACCATGCATCTACATGTTCAGGGTTTTCCTGTACTGCAGCTTCAAATGCTAACGCTGCCTCACTTAATTTGGCACCATTTTCCATCAAAATACAACCAATTTCATAAGAATTAGGATTATTCATATACTCATTTTTTTTATCAAACTGATATTCTTCAACAGAATTAATCCTGTCAGAAAAATATTTCTGATGGTCATTGTTCCATGCATCTTTGCCTACTAAATTGTCAGGTAATAAATCTTCAGCATCTTGGTTAATGCTATCCCACACCTCTTGGAAAACATCTTGATATTGCTCTATTTGTTCATCAGCTTCTTGAACTTTTTCTTCTTGATCTACTTCACCTTCCTTTGTCAAAGGTTCATCAGTATTTATCTTTAAATTATTAGTGACTTCTTCTTCGAGTTCTTTGAAATGTTTTTCCCAATTTTCATTAGTTGTTTGATTTTGTAAATTTTGTTGTCTGCCTTGTTGCAACAAACTATTCTGAGACATTGATCCCATCATTCCACCTGCAAACATATTCTGAGAATACATAGGATGGTTCATCTGGTATGGCAATGATGATTGTACGTCCTGATTAAACTGGGACTGTTGTTGCTGTTGAGGAGATTGCTTCTGAGAATCTTTGAACTCACCGGACCATTGATTATTTCCCGCCATCATCCTCTTGTTATTATATATTTGCTGTCGATGTTGAGATTCTGCATCATTTGAAAATTGAGACACCCAACTTGAGTTCCCACTTTGATTTTTCATTACATTATTACCATTTTCGAGATGGGCTCTATCTAAATTCACTGGTCTTGCAAACGAACTAGAAGGTACATTGTTATTCATGAAATTTTTCATATATTCTTTATTCTCTTGTGAAATTGCATTATTCCCAGTTCTAAAACCTTGGGAACTGCCCTCGAATTTCCCATTACTATTCTGATACTGTTGGAAATGGTTACCCTTCAACAAAGAACTAGATTCTTGAGAATGTTTATTTATTTGCATCAAGGGATTACTCCCGATTGAACAATCCGTTCCATTCATATTGATTGTGTTACTATATTTATTATTATTATTGTTATTATTATTACTTCTCTTAGTTATAGAAGTATTGATTTAGTACAAATCAACAGTAATCGAATTTTTACCCCCTTAGCCTTAAACAAAAATGAAACTAGTAAAATTGGGGAATAATAATTTTTGTTTAAAATAACAAATTCCTAAAAATTAACCAGTTGTTCAGTAAATGAAATATAAGTAAGTATATATATACCCGAATACTATTCAAATATTGATAGTATTGTTGTTTGTTGCTGTATAAGAAAAGAAATAATAGCTTAAATTATATCTCCCCTTCCTCCGGTATTACAAAATTTGCTTGCTTTTATTAAACACTGTAATAAAGCAAAAATTTATTTATTTTAACTGGATATCAAAAGATAACACCAAATATCTTTACTAGAAGTGTTGAACTATAAACAAGTCGATATGATCTAAAGACTGTTCCTTAAATACTAAATCAAATTAAAAGTTTAGTAAAAGTTTATTCATCTTCTTGGATCAACCTTTTCTTTAGTCATCTAAAGGTCGAATTTCAATAGAATTTGATGTTTTCCCCTCTTTCGGTCATGAGGGAACTAAGTCCGGTGGTCACGTGGTGTTCGATTTCTTATTAATCCTCGCATGGCTAACGGCAATGATCAACAAGGTTTAATAGTAATGAAACAGATGGGTAAGGAAGAAGATTATGGTAATTTGGATGTATATTTGTGTATATGTATGTGTAGAATTGGTGGATATATATGTATATATATTTCTAACTATTGTATCCAATTCAATTGGCAAAAATGTGCAAACTGGGAGAGGCTCCAGGATTAAGTTAAAGTTTTTATTGGTGAAAATGATTTCTCACCAACTAAAAGTAATATTACAGAAGAATCTGAATTTACTAGTGCAAAAAAAAATTTAATGTTACACATTTATTGTACTTATTCATTATAACTAAAGACATAAATCTATATCTATTCTTCATCTGAAGATGATTCGTATCCTTGCAATGATACCAATGGTGATTTTACAGGTACAGCTGATGTTGTGGTGGAATCGGAATTTGTATTCAAAGTTATACATTTATCTGTTTCCTTCTCTATAACTTGTCTTCTTTTCTTGAACTTAGATAACATACCCTCACTAAAAATCGACGATTCTTCCTCTGTATTTTTTCTTTTATTATTTTCAGCTTCGTTATTATCTTGGTTTTGGTTTTGATCATGCTTCTCTAATAGCTTCTTCATCACGTTCACTGCTTCTTTCTCGGATTCTTGTTGCATACGTTTCTTTGCTTTAGGATCTGGGTCATCGTTAGCCCATTTGACTAACAAACCTGTACCTTCTTTTCTTGCATCCCATTCTTTGTCACTCGGTATCAGCAACGTCTGGTTACTCATTGCCTCCTTTGCAAATTCTGCATTGCATTGAAATCGAAATGAGACAAATGCACAATTCTTACTTTCAACATATCGTATCCTTTCTATTTCACCCAGACGTCCAAACATAAATCTAAGTCTACTTTCAATTTGGGAATTCGACAAATTTTTATTATTCAAAGAACCTGTTAATCCACCTATGTACAAAGTTTTATTCTGTTTCCTAAATGAACCAACACCTCCCATATCATCCCTAAACTCTCCAAATTTCTCTCTTCCAAAACAATCTAAAACACCAGTTTTTAAATTTAATTGTATAGTGTCTTCTTCTTCAGGAATATGATGCTTATATGTACATTTTTTACCTAAACAGCATAACCCCTTTGCAAAATATAAACAAAAGAACTTGTTGCCCTCCAAGTCACCTCTACTCACACCAGAATGTAAGTTAGGCTCTAGTCTATATGGATTCACAAACCTTGCATTACCACTATGCCCTTGAGACCATTTATTATACCATAGGTTAAAAGATAAACCTGTCTGTGGTGGTATCGAAGATGGTAGATCGGATTCACGGACTTGAACCTTAGCAGACCTCTCTTTCCAATGTTTTACAGTCTTTCCACTCATTTAGCTTACCGGTTCCTTGTAGTTGGATAGGATTGAGTAGTCATCTCATCTCATCTCATCTGTAATTTATATCAAAGTGTAATTCAATAACGTTCTACAAAATTTATGTTCACGTGATTTTTAACGATTAGAACCAGAAGGACCTATATTTACCCTACTTAGGTGCGGTCCTTGGTATCTCGCTATCACCATTGTGTGACAGTTAATAGTAAAGACAGCAACTGTCGAATGTTAGACATTCGTTGATATGTTATAATATTGTCGAGTCTTATGAATAACATTTTGGTTCATCAATGTGCTAAGCAATAGAAAAACTTTAGTACCCCCCAACTCAGGTTTGAAATAGTATAAGTAGGAGATGCTTTCATACTCTTCCAGAAGAAGGATTTAATTATGGTTGGCCACTGTTTGTTCACACATTCCAAGATAAGAGGTCGAGTCTTATTTTTCAAAACCTTCTACATCGTTCATATCTACTATATCTACTTTAACTATCCTGTCTTTTATCGTTTCTCTAGTTAATTACACTATTTTCACAGCCATTATTGGATAAAGACCACTCATGAACGTTCAACCTAGTGGGAGTTAATAACGCTAACCAACGAGTTAGAAATAATATACGCATAAAGTTGACAAATTATATATAAAAATAACCCAATAACAGGATTCGATTAGCTATATCAATTAATACAACAAATTAGTGAGGTAGGACGAATGGCTTGGTAAACCAGTAAGATAAGTAATTGAGTGCAAAATCCCCCCTGTGTCATTAAAGAATAGTGTCTTTATCTTTCCCAGGTTTTGGATTCTTTGATCGATGCTTCTGTTATATCAACTGGTTTAAGTGACATAAACAGTTTCTGTATTAGACTGCCAGATTCAGTTACCCTGCTTTTAATGTAGGAATTGCACGTACTTTCCAAAATTACAATTTTTATCATTCTTTACGTTCAATTTCTGACATTAAAGATATAATACCTTAGTCAGGTGATCAAAGATAATTCTAACCGATGAGCTTCCACAAGATCAAGTCATTTAGTAGCACATATATCCATACTATTTTATTTTATCCAAACTAGAATAAACACACACACACAAGGCCAAACTTAAATTAACAATTGTATTTGCATGCACGATAAAAAGTCATCTTGTAATCCAGTATACCTACAAAAAACATAAACCCATCCATGTATATATAGTGTTTACCTAGATACTTCATAAAAATGAACCACAGTGTACACATCTCCAACATAGAAACATTATATTGTAACCGTAGTCTATACCTGATATGAATAAATCTACTTGCATCTCCCAGGAATCGATCCCAGAACCAACCACCCATCTCTAATATTTGCTAACCTTCTAATCATTTTTTTTTCTTCCCACTTACCCAACCAAGATAAAATTTTTTTTTTCGTTAACAAGATCGATGAGCTTCAACAGAATCCCATCAATACCATCTCTATACATACAAGAAAGGTTAAAGTAAAATAAAACAGAATAGCATATTTTATAATGTTTGAATAGTTTGTTTGATTGGCTTCTCGTAGATATAAAGTTGTCGTCAGCACGGTGAGTCATCATTTAACAATGGGTAAAGAATCTAAGGAAGCCAAGGGGGAAGATAACTACGATGTTAGAATGCCAGCGGTTCTACCGTTTGCCAAACCATTAGCCTCTAAAAAATTGAACAAAAAACTATTAAAGACAGTCAAGAAAGCTTCCAAAGCTAAGAATGTTAAAAGAGGTGTCAAGGAAGTCGGTAAAGCTTTGAGAAAAGGTGAAAAAGGTTTAGTAATCATCGCCGGTGATATTTCTCCAGGTGATGTCATTTCTCATTTACCAGTGCTTTGTGAAGACCATTCCGTTCCATATATCTTTGTTCCATCCAAACAAGATCTAGGTTCTGCTGGTGCCACCAAGAGACCTACTTCTGTTATTTTCATAGTTCCAGGAAGCAACAAGAAGAAGGATGGCAAGGGCAAGGAAGAAGAATACAAAGAATCTTTCAACGAAGTCGTCAAAGAAGTTGAAGCTTTATAGATATGGAAACCATTGTAGTGAGTTGTAGATCCACTGAAATAGTCCATAAACAAAAAAAACAAAACAAAACATGAAATTAGATAAAGAAGTAAAAAAAAACCCAATCGCAGAACCAGATCTAAAAGGTATTGATTATATATATATATAATTGATATTAACGTTCGTGTCTCTGGTTTTTTCTTAAAAGCAAAAACAAGAGAAAAAAAAGAGAAAAAAAAGATACATATATACCACTTTTTGTATAATAGATAGAACTCTAATCTAATCAATAGAAACTTATTTATAAACTTAATATTTCTTATTGAATAATCTTATTTAAACACTGTTAGTTAACCTTCTCTTGCTATTAACTGTCACTCTTCTAATATAAATCTGTATTATCCAATATCTCATAGTGTTGATTACCCGGATTTCAATATTTTATTATATTTGTCGATTTGAACTTACACGACAACCATAGAAAAGTGAACAACAATTTAAAAGAAACCCTCCTAAATGATTGAAATTTTACTTTAAAGATAAGGTTTTGCTTGTCTATCATTTGATCTAGGGCATCAAGAATCGATCAATTGACTATATTTGAAGTGATGACTGTCTCTAGTAAGCAACCTGCTTATACTTTGGTCTTTGATCCTTCTCCAATGGCTGTCAGCTACACTGTAGCTGATTTCCAAAAGGCATTGGAAAAAGGATCTGATGAGGACAAAATTGAAACTATGAAGGAAATTTTGGTTACTATGTTGGAAGGTAACCCATTGCCTGAATTACTGATGCATATTATTAGATTTGTTATGCCTTCTAAGAACAAAAGATTAAAGAAGTTACTATACTTTTATTGGGAAATTGTTCCAAAATTAGATTCTGAAGGAAAACTAAGACATGAGATGATTTTGGTTTGTAATGCCATCCAACACGATTTACAACATCCAAACGAGTTTATCAGAGGTAATACTTTGAGATTTTTAACTAAATTGAAAGAAGCTGAACTATTAGAACAAATGGTTCCTTCCGTATTAGCTTGTTTGGATTATCGTCATGCTTACGTCCGTAAATATGCCATCTTAGCTGTATTGTCTATTTACAAAGTTAGTGACCATTTGATCCCAGATGCAAAGGAGATTATTCATTCTTTCTTAGCTGCTGAAACCGATCCTGTTTGTAAGAGAAACTCTTTTATTGGGTTGTCTGAATTGGATCGTGATGCTGCTTTGACTTATTTAGAAGATAACATGACTTCTATTGAATCATTGGATCCTCTGTTACAAGTTTCTTTGGTTCAATTCATCAGAAAAGATGCTATCAATACCCCTTCATTAAAGGCTCAATACATCGAATTATTATCAGAAATCTTATCTTCCACTTCTTCAAACGAAGTTATTTTTGAAGCTTGTTTAGCTTTAACTTCTTTGAGTTCTAATCCAGTTGTTTTGAATTCTGCTGCTTCAAAATTGATTGATTTGGCTGTTAAGGAATCCGACAACAACGTTAAGTTAATTGTTTTAGATCGTATCCAAGACATCAACAACAAGAACCCCGGTACTTTGGAAGATTTAACTTTAGATATCTTGAGAGTTTTGTCTGCTGAAGATTTAGATGTTCGTGCCAAGGCTTTAGATATTTCAATGAACTTGGTTGCCTCAAGAAATGTGGATGCTGTTGTTAAATTATTGAAAAAAGAATTCCAACAAACTGTTAACAATGGTGAAAAGGATAAGTCAATGCAATACAGACAACTTTTGATTAAGAGTATCCACTCCGTTGCTATTCGTTTTGTCGAAGCTGCTGGTGATGTCATCTCATTATTGTTAGGATTCATCGGTGAATTGGGTACCGCAGGTGCTAGTGAAGTTATTTCATTTGTTAAAGAAGTAGTCGAAAAATTCCCACAATTGAGAGCCACTATCTTGAATAATTTGATTTCTTCAATGGAAGAAATCAAGTCTGCAAAGGCCTACAGAGGTGCTTTATGGATTTTGGGTGAATACGCCACTTCTGAACAAGAAATCCAAAATTCTTGGAAACATATCCGTGCTAGTATCGGTGAAGTTCCTATATTACAGTCTGAATTGAGAAGATTAAACAAGAAAAATGAAGATGATGAAGCTGAGAAGGAAGAATCAGAATCTAAGCCTACTGGTCCTGTTATTTTACCAGATGGTACTTATGCTACAGAAAATGCATTTGATTCTGTTAAAACCAACAAAGATGATTCTTCTGAAGAAATCGAATCTAGACCACCATTGCGTCGTTTCATTTTATCTGGTGATTTCTACACTGCTTCTATTTTGGCAAGTACAATTATCAAGTTAGTAATTAGATTCAAGAATTTATCAAAAGACACTAAGATTATTAATGCTTTTGTTGCTGAAGGTCTATTGATTTTAGTTAGCATAATCAGAGTTGGTCAAAGTAACCTAGTTGAGAAGAGAATCGACGAAGATTCCCAAGAAAGAATAATGAATGCTATTTCAATCTTGATGGATGAAAACAACTCTAAGACTGAAGAAATTGAAAGCCAACTATTGAAATTGGCTTTCTTAGATGCTACCAAGTCTTCTTTCCAGGCTCAAGTTGCTCGTTCCAAAAAAGAATTGGCCAAAAGATCAGCTAAAAATATCAAGAAGAATGCTGAAGCTGTTGATAAAGCCATGAACTTCAGACAATTTGCCGGCTCTATTTCAACTTCAAACACCGAAGATACAATTGAAGAAGACTTGAACTTGGCCATTAAAGGTGATGATTCAATGGCAAAGGCCAACTTGGTATCTTCTAAATTGAGAAAGATTGTTCAATTAACTGGTTTCTCCGACCCTGTTTATGCTGAAGCATATATCACAACCAATCAATTTGATGTTGTATTTGATGTTCTTTTGGTTAACCAAACTAAAGAAACTTTAAAGAATTTGCATGTTCAATTTGCAACTTTAGGTGACTTAAAGATCATTGATAATCCACCAAGTACGAATATTATTGCTCATGGTTTCCATAAGATCAGTGTTACGGTCAAGGTTTCATCAGCTGACACCGGTGTCATTTTTGGTAATATTATATATGATGGTGGTCATGGTCAAGATGCTCGTTACGTTATCTTGAACGATGTGCATGTTGACATAATGGATTACATTAAACCAGCCAAGACTACTGATGAAAACTTCCGTACCATGTGGAATGCATTCGAATGGGAAAACAAAATATCGGTAAAGGCCCAGTTGCCTACTTTACATGCTTACTTAAGAGAATTGGTTGAAGGTACTAACATGGGTATTCTAACTGAAGAAAACTCTTTAGGTGAAGAAGACTGTAGATTCTTAAGTTGCAACTTATACGCCAAGTCATCATTTGGTGAAGATGCATTAGCTAACTTATGTATTGAAAAGGAACCATCCACCGGCCAAGTTGTAGGTCACGTCCGTATTCGTTCCAAGGGTCAAGGTTTAGCCCTATCATTAGGTGACAGAGTCGCTTTGATTGCTAAACAAAACAACAAGGTTAAACTAGACCGTATTTAGGATTAATCACAACTCTATATCTACCTGTAGAGACACTGTTGTATAAAGGAAAATAAATTTTAAGTAAACAAAACAATTTTAATAAACAAGAAAAATCTTAACTAAATATACATACATCATTAGTCATCAACGACACCCCAGAAAAATAATTAACTTTAATTTCAAACCCACACCAATTTAGTGCATCATTTCATGCTTTATGATTACACCAACAGTTTCAAATTGTAAATAATGCTTCCTAAAATGATGTTAAAAATATAACACTATTTCTCTCAATTTCTACCCAAGTCACTCTTGCAGTTTTACCTTAAAATTAAATTTTAAGGCAATCTACACATCTTGCCAAGAAAAATCTAACCAATGCCAAGAACTTCTTGATAGAATTAACATGTTATACATATTTAGTTGCTATTTTTAATCATAAAATTTAATACTTCCCCATTATTTAAATCAAATATGCAATAGCCAAACGATTTCTTAATGTTACCACGGTAAAAGCTTAAATTTTACATGAAGCCTTTAAAACTGGGAAAAAAGCTTGATATTTAAGTGATGAATCGAAGGTTTACTATGTTTGATTTAAGACGAATCTAATTATATATATCTGAATAATCTGGAGCAAGAGTTGTTATAGGTTCTGTTTAAGGAATTATGATGGTTAAATGTTCAATTGGATCACTTTGAACACAACTTTATGGCCTTTTTTAATTTTATTCTAAAATAAAGGCTAGGAAGAAACTTAATTATTAGTCCTGGCTTATTACAATTTGAAACTTTATTATGTGGGATAATTGGAAGATAGCAATAAATCTGTTTTATATTATTAATATTGCACTTGTGGTGGTATCGTTCTGGAGTGAGTTTGTTTGGGAGTTTTATGTGAATCCACTGTTTTTATTGGAATGTTTTATTCTATTGGGATTAGTCACCTCTGATTATTTATTACCCTCGTTATCAATAATTTCAACCGATGTTTTCAATATTTCAAGCAGGATATCTGGTATTACAATATTATCCTTGGGTAATTCTATTCCAGATATTACAGGTACATATCAGTCTATGAAGAAAGATGCAACCTCTTTAGCAATCGGTGAATTGCTTGGTGGCTTATTATTCGTTTTAACTGTAGTAATAGGACTGATGGCATTGTCAAGAACAATTGTACTGACCGATAAAGATCTCGAATTAAATGATACTAGTGATATTTCAAATCATGGAATCTCAACAAAGGAAAAAATAGGGTTTCATTCGAAAAAATATTATATCCATGATATTTTAATATTTACTGTGTTGATATTAATAGCATTTTGGATATTATCCGATGGTACTTTAGCATTTTGGGAATGCTTGCTAATGTCCTTATTCTATATCGTTTACGTTATTTATCAAATTAACGACTACACCGAAAGTACCCATACACCTGATTCGGAATCTTTGATATCTCAAGATCGGATAGCGCATCCAAACAATGGTATAAAACAATTTTTTGGTTTCTCAAATATTCACAACAATATACTATTATTTAATAAAGGTATCCAAACCAGGCGGGATATAATAAGCAAAAGAGTTAGAAATCATTTTAAGAAGAATAGTCATGGCTGGATCCGTATGACTCTTAAAGATTTGTTAGATATCTGGGGAAATGAAAATGAATTTAATGATGAAATTTTCTTAGAAACTAATATATCAAACAACAGACTCCAATCGTCTCTTCAGCCAATATCTTCTTTACAAGAACAGAAACGATATTCTAGCATACCGCCGATTGTTATAACGGATAGCAATTATGATAATACAAATAGAGATATCGAAACAACCGAAACTGACAATTTAGACTCTAACACACCAAACTCAAGGCCACAACTAAATCGCCCAATTACTCAAAAATCTTTGAGTTGTAATCATTTACCGCATTTGCTTATTCCAATTTCACCCTCCCATAGCCCAGCAGTAGTCTGTAGTCCAGAACCCTTAGTATTGGAAACACCTACAGTAGATTACTTATACCATGGCTATGAAGTTTACAACGAGTTAATCAATTATCCACCAAAGACTGTGGATCATCAATTTCTAACCATGTTGTTCACTGCTCCATTATCTGTATTACTAAATGCTTATTTGCCAGCAATTAATATCACTCATGTGAACAAGAAGTTGTCGCCGGTGACTTCAATTAAGTTGGTATTATCTCCAATTATAATCAGTGTATTATTGTATCAATGTTTGACAATCTGGGCTATAATAATGTGTATTCCAATTATTATTCTTCTGACGTACTGGGAAAAAGCCAACATTTATAGATATAATTCGAATGTTGTTGCAATCATTGAATTCATAGTTTCCCTATGTACCATAAGCTATTCTGTCAAACATGTTGTTCGAATTTTAACAAACTGGACAGAAAGGTACAACCTAACACAGGAAATCCTAGGCTTAACTATTTTTGCCTGGGGTAATTCAGTGGGTGATTTGATTTCAAATGTAACCTTTACACAGCTTGGAGCAATAGACATAGCAATAAGTGCATGTTTTGGGGGTCCTTTGCTTTGCTTTCTCTTTGGTCTTGGCATAGATGGACTCTTAATTTTGTTGAATAACTATGGTCAAGAGGACAGTTCCATTTGGAAAACATCATTGGTTTTCAAAACTGAGAGACATTTTTACATCACAACAGGTGGCGTCATTAGTGCCATTATTGTATTAACTATTGGAGTCCCATTGAATGGATGGGTAATTGATAAGAAGATTAGTGTTATATTACTATCTATATACCTACTGATAACTGCATTAAATGTATATATAGAAGCATGCAAATAAATGAAAATATTATTTTTAATATATGAAAATTATGCAAATAAATCATCCAAATTGTCTATATCATCTGGTAAGTATTTGAAACAAAACTCGGAAAGAAGTTCTTTTACACTATCAGTATGTGGAACTCCAGTTTTCCAAAGGTTCAAAATAGACCTACGCTTCTCTAGATAAGAAGAAGAAGGATCGAAATAGATAAGTTGAGAGTATAGTGTCCAGAAAGTTCCGTCATTTATATAATATTCCAAATTATCTTTAATAATCTGTTTAAATACTTTATTCTCAATTATTTTTGTATTATCTTTATCTTGTAGTTGGACTAAATAGTGTAGTAAAAGTAACTGACCTTCTTTACTTCCCTCGTATTTCAATCTATTCAATATTAAAGTAAAGATGTTTTCAGGTAAAAATGAATTCTTCTGAGATTCGGAATACCTACTCTTTAATGAATTATTAGCTAAAAACATTTTGAATTGAATAAAATCCCAAAATATTTCAAAGTCATCTATATCCACAATATTTATCGAAAATTTTTCCATTTGTGACAGAATGTATTCAAGTGAATCATAGTCATTCAAACCTACCAATACATCGAACAACATTTTAATAATTTTTGATTTCTTTAGTGACATCGAAAGGCCATCAATTAATATATTTTTAGCAGATACAAGATCCTTTTGGGAAGATATCAGCCATTTTGAATATTTAATCCAAATGGCATCATAATTTGCCGTTATTATCAAGCCCCTTTGGAAATTAATCTCAATTAATTGTTCGTTTCTTGTATTGATAGAGTAATCAATATAGCCTTCCCATTTCTCTATTTCAGAAGTTGGAATTAATTTATCCGGAGAAACGTAATATTGGATGGATAAATTTGATTCAAACAAAGAGTATATCTCTAGCACTTGGAATTGTATTACTGAATACATTTCTTTTGTAATTTTTTTCAATTTCTTTTTACATTCAAATAGGTAAGGTCCTTTTCTTGATTTAAATTTAATATCTATCTTCAGTTTCTTTTTCAACTCATCTCTTGGTGCAAAAAGAGACAATTGTTTAAGATCTCTTACATTATCAATTTCTTTCAACCAAATTGCATAAAATTTACTAAACGAATATATTGGATATTCCAGTATTTTCCTCAACATACTAAAATATCTAATCTTAGAAATCGATCTTTCTTTAATCAGGTTCAAATATAATTCCCAAAATTCTCCACTATAAAAATGCATTCCAATATATTGTTCAGCCTTTTCATATTTCTTAAACAAAGCCTTGTCATCAGTCACAATTTCATTACACAATTGCAAATAGGATACCCATACCAATACAGATTTTTGGTTAAACACTTTTAAACCATTCTTGAATATCTTGTGCACATTAGATATATTTCCTAATTTATATTCAAATAGACCATAGTCGATATAATAATTCTCTAAATAAGGAAAATTGAAAAGCAGCGATTCATAAGTGGTAACAATCAACTTATACAACTTCTTATCCAATTTTTTATTAATTGGCGATACCTCATCGATTAAATAATTAATTATATTTTCCCAATGTTCTAATGATTTTGGATAATTTATCACGTTCAGCGTTAGCTTCGAGAACTTTTCATTAGAAACAACACTATTAAATGGATCCATAAGTACTATTATCAGATTCCAACCTCTTTGGCCCTCTCAAATGACCTTAAACCATTCAATTCTTCCATCTTTCCTATACATTGTGGATAACATATTTTATCTTAAATATCTTCATGTTCAGTTAAAGGTGAATTTCGGAACTTAAAGCTTTGATCTGTATATTGATAGCAATAGATATAAAGATAGGTAGAGTATGTAATTATATAATAAAAGGTATTATGTAAGTACAAATGACAGCCAAAAATTAATGTGTTAGATTGATCGAAGGCTTATATACAAGATTTCGTGATTGCCAGAAATATATATGTTATATTCTTAGATAACAATTGCAATTTTTTAATTGGAAAACGATGATTAATTATTTAGAAACTACACCAATTAATGAAGGGGACACTTTTCAAATAATGTCATGGGTATATCTCTTTTTAATGGATATGAGGACTTCTAATCGGGGGACAACTATTATAATAATACATTTTATTTTTAATAAAACACATTGGATTAAATATTAGGTTGGATAAATATTTTTGATTTGGAAGTTATAAATGAAAAAAAAAGCAACAAAGCAACAGATCAAACAGAGTGTGTTCAAGTGTTTCTTTTGTCATGTGAAGTCGTAACAGTCTCGTTAATGAATTCTATCTAAATTGATAGAATCTAAAATTGTCTTTGCACCTGCTTGTTTCATTTTTTCTGCTAATGCTTTACCACAGGCCATGGAATCTTCTTTAGAGTCTTGAATAATAATGGAGTGTTGTTCTTCAATAGCTTTTGTACCGTCTACATCAACAACAATACCCTTTAAGAGTAATTCTTTTTTACTTGCATCATATTTAGTTTCTACACCAATTGGAACGGAGCAACCACCTTCTAAAGTTCTCATTAAAGAACGTTCTGCTAAACAGCACACAGTAGTTTCTTCATCAGATATCTTGGACAAGATATTTCTCAATTTCTCGTCACCTTCTCTGATTTCTATACCCATTGCACCTTGACCTACAGCATGATACATCATAGTAGAGTTAAAAGTTTGAGTAATTCTTGATTCTAAACCCATACGTATCAAACCTGCTGCAGCCAAGATAATACATTGATAGTGAGATTCTGGATCATCAACTTTCTTTAATCTTGTATGGATATTACCTCTTACACTTTCAAATTTTAAATGTGGATATCTACGTTTTAATTGAGCACTTCTTCTAATTGAAGAAGTACCAACAATACTGCCATTTGGCAAGTCGTCTAAAGATTTATATTTAGAATCAATTGGCATAACTAAACAATCAGAAGGGTCTACACGTTTTGTAATAGCACCAATTTCAAAGCCATCTGGCAATAAAGTTGGTACATCTTTTAAGGAATGAACAATCAAATCAATTCTTTCTTTTGCATCCTCATGGTATAACAAATCCTCTAATTCTTTTGTCCAAACAGCTTTACCACCAAATGAATACAAAGGCTTGCTTTGAATTTGATCACCCAATGTCTTTAGAGCAACAATACGACATTCATATTGAGGGAACTGTTCTTCAATAAGCTCTTTAACTTTAGTCGATTGAGCAACGGCAAGCTTGGAACTTCTACCACCAATAACTAAGACTTCTTTAGACATTATAACAATCACTTAAATTCAATTCCCAAAGTTGTAAAAATGAACTGATTTATACAAGAACTAACCCAAAAAAAATCAATAACAATTGAACAATACTTTCAATATATATATTTACCACTGTTCACTTGTAAATGATCCAAATAGTAATATACAAAGTTCAATTGGAATGCAAACAATATATAAAATAAATTGTGAAAAATGGAATAAAGATGAACTGATATAAAATAATACAATAGATCAATGTTAGATAAGTTCTTGCTCTCAATGCCAATTGCAATAATTCTAATATGCACACCTACAAATCAACCAATGCTCTTGATAACTTCAGACCTGACAATTGCAGAAAATGAAGAATACAGAAGACCTAAGCAAAACTTTTAATACAAGTAGACTACAGATCAATAAATACAATACAATACAATACAATACAATATTACATATAACCAAGCTTGGCTTAACCAATATCAATCCAATAAACTATAACGATAATTGAATAAATTTTACAACATCGGAACCTAAAACTATGTAATACAAGACCATCCATCCATCTCAAGATGTAAGACATCATTGAATCTATACAAGAAAGTTGAGCAATGCAATAGTCTAGAGAGAGCTTGTAAAAAGTTTACCAGAAAGAGTGAACAAGTGAAGTGAAGTGATGGGATGATGAGAAAATTCTTTCATCATAATGCAATTGACTACAGGTTGCTGCCCAGGTTTATTCATTAATTCGTTAATTAGTTCATTCATCAGAGGTAATTGAATGAATGAATGAATGAATGAATGAGAATTAACTGGTTCTTGCTATCTAGAGCATCGAGAGCATCTAGAGAGAGATAGTGTTTAGTTTAGTTTAATTTTGTTTCTATTAATTACCAATAAGAATCAAGCTAGAGCAGGATGAAATTAGTTTTATCACAAGCTGTAGCAGAGAGTGGGTCTTGTCGAGTAGTTTCTTGGATTAAAATTTCACCGTTTAGAGGTTACGAGATAGTAAGGAAGCAAGAGTGAGTGAATGAGTGGGAGACCCAACCAGGTTCCTCTCTCTGATTTAACGAGTGAACTATAGAGGAATTAGAGTTCGATATGGATGGAAAACTACGTTATTAATTACAATTAGTAATATGTTTAACGGCAGTTCGGAGACCTTTTGAGGATTTTGATTCACTGCCTTTGTTATCTTGTCCGGAATTTTCTGTTTCTGGTAAATGAATAAATAAATAATTCTATTGGATTAGTCTTAGTAATGTTATATATAAATACGAGTAACAGATTTATATGAATATCAATTTATTTAAATATAAATACGCTTTGTTTGGGTTTTGCTCTTTTATTTTTTTTAATTTAGTTTAGATTTAACCCATCCTTCTAAACCGCCTTTAACAATAATCTCTTGTAAATTTTTGCCCAATTCTGGAATTTCTTGTTCAAATACTATTGTACCTGTAAGAGATCCTTCTCTCACAGTTACATTTTTGTTGGCTACATCCCATTTGAAGAACCACCCTGTTCTTCTTGTTAGTTCCGGCGTATCATCTTTATACTTTGAACGTAATTGTTCTATTAGTTTTGGGACTTCGACAGTTAACAATCCATTGTTAATGGAATTCCTAGAAAATATATTACCAAAAGATCCCGATACCACTAAGTTAATACCTCTTGCTAAAATACATGTGGCTGCTTGTTCTCTCGAGGATCCAGTACCAAAATTGAACCCACTGATTATTATATCTCCGGTCTTTGTCTTGGTTTGAAATTCTGGATCATAATTCTCCATGCATACTTCTGCCATCATCTCTTTAGAAATATCGTCTTGATATGTATACTTACCAGGATATATACCATCTGTATTGATATTATCAGCATCACAGAATACCAATTCGCCTGATATTTCACTAGGGAACCCTTCTAATATTTCAACCCTCGAGGCTTCTGTCGGACCTGAAGAGGTTCCTGATGTTTCTTCCTCCAATATTTGTTCAGATGTTTTAACTGATGCATATTTACAACTTTCAATACCCAATGCCTCATTTGGTGAAACAATTTTACCAGCCAATGCCGATGCTGCTACAACAGCTGGCGATGCCAAGTATGCCAAGGCGTCCTTAGACCCCATTCTACCTTTAAAATTTCTATTTGTTGCACTAATTCCAACTTCACCAGCTTCCAGTAGACCTGTACCTAAGCCAATGCATGGGCCACAGCCTGCTGGTAATGCTATACAACCTGCCTTCAATAATTTATCCCAAGCACCACTAGTTCTTGCTTCTTTTTCAACTTCAGATGAGGCTGCTGCAATATAAAAGTTAACACCAGGAGCAACTTTCTTGACATCTTCAATATTACCTGTTGGACAAACTACATCAGCAGCTGCTTCAATGTCAGACAAGCGTGAATTGGTACATGACACTAAGTAAGCTTTGTTAATCTTAATATCTTGTTTAGATAAGTCCTCTACAGGATTAGAAATCTTGACGCTATTTGGTCCTGAAACGTAATATGTCAGTGTAGATAAATCAATAGTTAACTTCTTGTCATATTTCGAATTACTATCTGCTTTCAATTTTTGAGCATTTTGTTCCAGTTCCTCAATGGCCTTAGAATTAATTATATGTCCTTCACCGACCTTATTTATCCTTTCTTTGTACCATTGAATGACAGTCGAATCCACAGGGAACAAACCTGAAAGGGCACCCCATTCAGTAGTCATATTAGCTATAGTCAACCTATTATCAATTGACAAATTTTTAATAGAATCACCAGTAAATTCAATTGCATGATTCAAGACTTGATCATCATTAAATAAGCCACATAATGCGACAATAATATCCTTTCCTGAAACACCAGTAGGTAATTCACCCTTCAACTCAACTTGTGCCACTGGAGGTATCTGCCACCAAGTTTGACCAGTTGCCCAGATAGATGCAGCATCAGTTCTAACTATTGGTGTCCCCAAACAACCAACACCACCATAGATATTGGAATGCGAGTCTGAAGCTACTGTCAAATTCAATGGGAAGGCATAACCTTCTTCTATCATAATTTGGTGTCCAATACCCCTACCAGCAGGATAGAAATGTGAGCCATGCTTTTTAGCAAAGTTCTCGATATTCCTATACTTTGTTAAATTCTTTTCACTCTTATTTTGAACATCATGATCTAAAGTATTAACAATCTGATCGGGATATTTTAGTTTAGTTGCACCTAAACCCATAAATTTTAATGCAATAGGCCATGAATTATCATGAGACATACAATAACTTGGACGAATTGACACATAGTCACCAGAAAATACTTTCTTACCTTCTGGAAGTTCAACTGCATACCTTTGAACTATCTTTTCAGTCAAATTCTGACCTCTAGTCAACCTAATAGAGCCTTCACTGAAGAATCTTTTAAATCTTAACATAATCCCCAAATGCAGAATCAATTTTGACCTGCCTGATTTTTTAAACGAGTATACTTCTTAAGATACCAATAATTGTTTAACTCTTATCCAAATCCAAAGTTATCATTTATATAGTCTTTATATTCATTTGCCCTGTTGTTGAGATGATTCATTATTAAGTTTTCGAAATGAGTCTTTAGAGGAATTTCCTACAAGGATTACTCATAGTAAAACCAAATCTTGAAACATGCGATGGAAATAAATTTCCAGTGGAAATATAGATCATCAGTTACTGGATCACTTTAACTATGTTAATTTGTATTATTAAGATTTCCAGCTTTAGAATTAACTAGGGTCTTCACCATATTAAAAATAATACATTAGAGATATATATGGTTGAATATACAGAATGATTTAAATAAATAAATAAATAAATAATTAAACAGTCGAGTTATATTGTTTGAGAGATATTTTAATCTCGATGAAATAACGAATGATAAAAGACTTGAATTGAAAGAAAAATTAGAACAGAATGATAATGATCGAATAATAATTAGAAAGGAACAGTTTTTCAATTTCTGTTAATTTTTTTTTAATTCTTTTTAATTAATACATCGATTATAACTTAATACCACTTGATACTTCCAATTGTTCGAAAGCAGGGTTTGCAGTGTTTGGATGCAAGTCTTTGTTAGTGAATTGTAATTGTTCGTCAGTCCATAAATCCTTTTCTTCAACGAAGTCTTTTTCACCAACACCTAATAGACCACCTTGGGCCTCCCAATCAGCAATACGTGGTAATTGTAAGTTGTTGAATACATCTTCTAGGGCGTCTAATAAGATGTCAGACAAATCGTTAGTATGACCTGGAGTTGGTGTAATTCTTAATCTTTCGGTACCACGAGAGACAGTTGGGAAGTTAATTGCTTGAACATAAATCTTGTGTTTGTTCATTAACATGTCAGAGGCTTGCTTAGCTAAGTCTGCGTTACCAATCAAAATAGGAACGATATGCGATGGGTTTGGAATAACTGGAATACCTAAATCTTTCAAACCTTCCTTGACATATTTGGTATGTCTTTGTTGGTCTTGTCTTAGATCTAAGTGAGAACGTTGGAATCTGATGGCTTCAGCAGCACCGGCCATGACAGCTGGTGGTAAACTGGTAGTGAAAATAAAACCTGGAGCATAAGATCTAAACCAATCAATCAAAGTGTTGGAAGCAGCAACATAACCACCAACTGTACCGAAGGACTTACCTAAGGTACCAGTAATCATGTCGACACGGCTCATAGTAGTCTTAGTTTTTGGGGTAGCAATACCGGATACACGATGAGCTTCAAAATCACAATGTTCAGCGACACCAGCACCATGTGGACCGTATAAACCAACAGCATGGACTTCATCCAAGAAGGTTAAAGCACCGTATTTTTCAGCTAGATCACAGATCTTATCAATGTTTGCAACAGAACCAGACATAGAATAAACTGATTCAAAAGCAATTAATTTTGGAGTTGATTTTGGGTACATTTTCAACATTTCCTCCAAATGATCTAAATCATTGTGCTTGAAAATATGCTTCACAGTGTTTGCATGCTTGATACCAACAATCATGGAGGCATGGTTTAATTCATCAGAAAATATGACTAAATTTTTAATCTTTTGACCTAACAGTGAGATGACAGCATCGTTAGCAACATAACAAGAAGAGAATACCAAAGCACCCTCTTTCTTATGAAGAGCAGCCAGTTCTGCCTCTAACATCAACGCATGTTTGTTATGACCTGCGATGTTTCTAGTACCACCAGCACCAGCACCATATTTGTCCAAGGTCTTTTTCATAATATCGACAACCTGTTGGTTCTTAGATAATGCTAAATAATCATTAGAACACCAAACTGTAACCTTATCATCTTCCATTTGACGATGAGCTAATGGAAATTGATGGGCCAAACGGTTAATATTGTTAAAATATCTGTATGACTTATCATTTCTTTTCTTGGCGATTTCAGTTTCGAATAAACCTTTGTAATCGAAACCTGATTCTTGAGTACCATGATCAACGACAGTTTCGGTGCTTTGAGAAGTAGTTGGATTAGTGGCAGCAGCTGTAGCTGATGAAGAAGTAGCATAACCTCTTCTAGAAGAAGATCCAGAAATGGCTCTACCCATTATTGGGCACTGTTTTGCCATCTTTGGCAAATTAGTTCTAGCAACCTGACTCAAACCTTGAGAACAAGATGTAGCCTTATGAACAAAAGGACAGACCTTTGCAGATTGACGGATCAAGGACTCCATGATATGAATATGTATCGTATTATATGTTACTATCGCACTGATACTATTAACCAACAATAAACACTTGGTATTACCAATAATGTATTAATAGCACTGCAAGCAACTACCGTTATATATTCTCCCACTGAGTAGTAAAAAGAACGTTGAATGTAAGCTTAACTAACATACACTAAAAAGAACAAATGAAATACAACAAGCACTTTAAATATATATATCTAAAACTAAAATATGTCACTCCTCATCATTCATTTAAATAAAAGTAACCAACCATCATGAAGTTTATAAAATTTCTCTTGAACAAATTTTCAGTTAAACTGCTCATCGCTGGAGAATTGGGCTGGACTACATTAGAACTACTAAAAATTTGACAGTATAGTTCAAAAATTTTGGATCATACAGACGGAGTAGATTTAGTAGGAAAGGAGATTGTGAAGAAGAGTTTACTGTGCTGTTCAGTGCTGTTCAGTGTTTCTGGCCAATCAGAATTGAAATTGGTGAAAATTTAAATTTTAGTAATGCTAAAAAAAAAAGAATTGGACCAACTTTGATAGTGGTATATGGATGAGATGAGCAATGATTGATATTGTAAAGGTTCAGATGAACTATTTGAACTTTGAAGATGGCAGTTCCGTTGTAGAGTAGATGATGATACTAGTTATGTCGAAGTTTTGGTTGTGAGCATGTTAGGTTTATGTGCTGTCCAGAGAGGACAGTGGTGGGTCAGTGAAAAGAAGGGGAATTATAATTGTTATGTATGGTCTTGAAGAATGATAATATAGGCTAGCATGGCAAGATATTAACCACTTGCTATTGTGAATAGTTATCAGTAACTGCTTGATAGTATAATTCTTATCTATATGTATCGTATCTCTCATGTAATTTTAGGTTGTTCTTGTAACTGCTTCGTTTTGGGTCATTTTGTTTCTTCCCGCACCTATTTGTATGCAATTGAAGGAAATGCTATATACGCTTGGAACAAGAAACGTAATTAGTTAATAATGCTATCTTACTCTTTTGCAATGAGAAAATAGTATTGTAAAAAAGAGAGATGAAGAGGATTGTTATTTATTGAGATGGATTGACTTTGTTGGAAATTTAGAATCATTTCAGATCGAGATATTCAGCATACAATCCTATAATTATCATGGGTTGGTGGGGGTCCTCTAAGAAAGAATCAGCTGATTCTAATGAAAATACAAATTCATTAATGGATAACAAGAAAATTCCAATTGATAATGACGAAACACCTATAACAAACTATACAAGAGGACAAAAGATACTGTTAGAAGACACAAGACCTAAGTTCAAAGGTGAACTATCGCAAAGTCAATTAGCCCATCAAAATGAACAGAATCAGCTTAAGCAAGCTTGGGATTCTGTTTCTATGACTGACTTCTCATTTGAGAAGCTTACTTCGATTCCTTGTTTTAGAGATGCAGGAATGATGGGGTTTTCCAGTTTATTTGTTGTAGGTTCAATTATATTCTTATACCATAAAAATCCTACCAAGGCAACTAATTGGGGGGTTGGTAGCTTTCTTTTAGGTTCAATCGTTGGCTGGGAACAATGTCGAGCTAAAAGAAGACGTAGTTTTCAAAATGCACAAAGGGCAAAAGAAACCATGGCCAAGAAAGAAAGACCTATGTTAAATAAGGTACAGCATGATGAGAGATTGGTGAATCAATGGGACAAATCGAAGATCAATGACAGTACAAAACCATCTCCTACTAATGAAGGTAAACCATGGTATAAATTTTGGTAACCTGTAATGAAATTTCAATCAACACATTCTTGTATATAAATAGATTTGATTGAAACTTGGAATTTAACGAAATTTTATCTTTTATAAGGGCAGCGTCACATCTAAAAACTGTTATATTAGTATATTTATGTATAAAATATGATCACTTAACAATTTATATAATGAAGCCAAAAATTGATTTAAAAAAATTAAGGACATTACGTTTTCATAAAATACGTAAAAGTACATAGGAATGCTAGATTAAGATTGATTATATAGAAAAGAATAAATTCCAAAGATTAATTTGAGCGTCGGAGTTGGAAAGAGATATGTCAATCAACCTTAGTTCTTACCTAAAACCTTTAAGATACTAGTCCAGACGTTGTCTGGTGCTTGAGAAGCATCGACACCGGCCCAGATACCAGTCTTCTTGTAGAATTCAACAATTGGTTCTGTTTGTTGGTGATAAGAGTTCAATCTCTTCATCAAAGCTTCAGCATTGTCATCTGATCTTTGGACCAATGGTTCACCAGTGACATCATCAGTCATTTCAACCTTTGGTGGGTTGAACAACTTATGGTAGGATCTACCAGAAGATGGGTGGACTAATCTACCGGTAATTCTGGCAACTAATAATTCATCATCGACCTTCAATTCAACAGCTTTTTCCAAAGGAGTACCTCTTTCAGCCAACATTTGGTCTAATTTTTCAGCTTGTGGGATAGTTCTTGGGAAACCATCCAAAATGAAACCTTTACCGCAAGCTGGGTTGGTTTCTAATTCTTGCTTGATCATACCAACCATGATTTCATCAGAGACCAAACCACCTTGATCCATGATTTTCTTAGCTTCAACACCCAATGGAGTACCCTTAGCAACTTGTGATCTCAACATATCACCAGTGGACAAATGAGCAGCACCAAATTGTTTAACTAAATTTGGAGCTTGAGTACCTTTACCAGCACCTGGAGGGCCGATTAAGACCATTCTAATTGATTCAGAATTTTGAGACATTATTGAATTATACGGTACTGTTGTTATATATAACGATCGATTTCGTTTGATTGTTTAAAACCAAAAGAAGTATCCAAGAATAAGACAACGATCGAAGAATAACTAATTCTAACTCTCTAACAATCTCGAAATAGATAAACTACCTTTATATATTTGGAATGCTTCTTGGAAAAGTACAATTCAAACAAGAAAGAAGGTCTGGTGGTGATAATGAATGGTTAATGGAAGCAGACATTAATTGCTAAACCTTTTCGAATTCGAAGTTAAAGAACATTCGGCCCAGTAAAAATCAGTAGAAGAAAATTGGTGAAAAAAAAATGACAAGCAAAAAAAAAATTATTTGGACCATATTGTTTGCTGCAGTAGTGAATAGAGATCATGTTCAAGTTAAAATGTTAGGGTAACGATGTTGATCGATTGACTCTTATCCCCATCTGTCAATGTCTTCAAGAGCAGATCTAAAAATAAAAAATACAAATAAAATATAGTTACAAACTGATTTATTTGAAAAAACTATGATTCCATGTTAAATAGTATACATTTTCATTACCCAAAATTACTTAAAAAAAATTATATAACATAATGGTTTCTCTGATATTGAAAAAAAAGGATTTCTAAGAACCATTTAAGATGATCAATTCTTTTTTTATATTTATTCTTGATTCAAAATTTGAATTGAAATTACCTTATAATTCTTGAGAAGCCTTAGCAGCCTTAGCAGACTTCTTTGGTAACAAGTTTTGGTGAATGTTTGGCAAGACACCACCTTGAGCGATAGTGACGTTACCCAACAATTTGTTCAATTCGTCATCATTTCTGATGGCTAATTGTAAATGTCTTGGAATGATTCTGGTCTTCTTGTTATCTCTAGCAGCGTTACCGGCTAATTCTAAAATTTCAGCAGCTAAATATTCTAGAACAGCAGTCAAGTAGACTGGAGCACCAGAACCAATTCTTTGAGCGTAGTTACCTCTTCTCAATAATCTGTGAACTCTACCGACTGGGAAAGTCAAACCAGCTTTAGCAGATCTAGATTGAGAAGCTTTAGCAGTAGTACCAGCTTTACCACCTTTACCACCGGACATTATTAATATATTATGATTATGTTAAATTTGAAGAGATTTTAGTTTAGTTTAGTATAAACAGTAAACTTGATCGTTGATATATTCTTTTATTATGAAGAAAATAATGTAGAAAATAAGTAACAAAAAAATAAGAAACTCTTGTAAACAAAGATGTCCTTAAACTTAGGGATATCTGACCTTGGTTTATATATAAAAATTTTGATACTAAATCGATAAAAGTTAATTATGAACAATACAACAAACAACAAACTTGTAAATTTAGTTAGCGTACTCAAACTCATTACTTTTGGACGTGAAATAATGAGAACTAAGAGAACACCAAAAAAACAGAGATAGATAGAGAGAAAGAGAGAGTAAGAGAAGATCAAACACAACAAACCAAAGACGAATACTTTAGCATACCATCATCTCCCTTGCCCCTTCCCTTTTCCTGTCTTTCCCTTGAATCCCCCATCAAAGCCCAGAGTTAATACAGTGTTCCAATCCCAGACCAGAATTTTCTCAGGATGCCAACTACTAACCAGGCGAAATTCCTAGCACACCAACTATACCATCAAATTATTCAAATTTGACCATTTATTCAAACAAACGCGTCAACCTCTCTTAACTATGAGTATTCGTTCCAGCTTTTTTTTATTGTCAGCAGAGAAATTATTGTGACGCGAAAAAAAAGAATAAAAGAAAAATAATCGTTATTATTTACGCGTACGTTCAGATATTTTCGCGCATTTATGGTCGATGTTCTCAGATTTTCTCTGGATATCACCATAATACATCCATTTTGTTCATATTAAAATTAAAATATATGCCAAAAAATATAGGTTTGTATCAACTAGACTTATTGAAACCTTGATATTTCTTGTCTGGATAGTACTGCTACGTTGTCATGGGTAGTTCATGTTTATTTGTTTTGACGTTCTGATACATACTCTTCTCTATGTCATCTTATTTTGATCAAAGTTTTTTGGAAAAGTTGAATAATGTTTAAATTTGATATATAAGGGTACTAACTTTTAACATTGTTTAGTCCTTCTATTTTGAGTTTGTTATTGTTTTATTTATTATACTTTTCAATATTGTTACTGTTTATTCTCTTTTGTCCCAATACACCAGATCCATAACACATATTCTCATTAATATTAAATAATGTCTTCTGCTTCTAAGGCCCCAGCATCTAAAGCCCCAGCTGAAAAGAAACCAGCTGCCAAGAAAACTTCTACTTCTACTGATGGTAAGAAGAGAACTAAGGCTAGAAAGGAAACTTACTCTTCCTACATTTACAAAGTTTTGAAACAAACTCACCCAGACACTGGTATTTCTCAAAAGGCTATGTCTATTTTGAACTCTTTTGTTAACGATATTTTTGAAAGAATCGCTACTGAAGCTTCCAAATTAGCTGCTTACAACAAAAAATCTACCATCTCTGCTAGAGAAATCCAAACTGCTGTTAGATTGATCTTACCAGGTGAATTGGCTAAACATGCTGTCTCTGAAGGTACCAGAGCTGTTACCAAATACTCTTCCTCTACTCAAGCTTAGATTAGTTTTAGAGTGGATGTTTTTTATAATAAATTTAAAATATTTCATCGGTTTAATTGTATTGTATAATAATGTAATTAGGTAGTTTTTTTATAAAAAAATATACAAAATGGGATAATGATCTTTTGTATGCGTTAACTTCAACTTTTTTTTTTTTGTTCTGTAATCTTGATTGTAAAATTCAATATTTACTTAGTTTTAGTTTTTATTTATTAATGCTAATATGAAATTATTTAAAGTTCAGATGCTTTATTTAATGATTTGACATCAAACATGCCGTAGCCACCTTTAACCAAGTTGGCCATTTGGATTAGTGATATCTTATTATCATCGCAGATCATGTCATCATCATTGTCTCTTTTTGATCTGGCTATAGATACTTGTTCAAGTAAAATAGTTCTATCAGATTCGATCTCTTTCTTAACACTGTTCAAATCGATCGAATTTATTGCTGTCCTTACTTGGCCTTTCTTAGAAAATTCAGATATAGTAAAAGGTATATTATTTAATTTATCAATCAGTTCAGGTTCAAGTTTCTCTTTGGTTACCATATCTTCATTCTGTGTTTTCTCGCTAAAATCAGCTTCCTCTTGTTCAATATTTACATCTATATCTTCATGAACACTTTCATTCTCACTCTCTGATGACGACGAGGATGATGATGAATCTGATTCTGATGATTCTGCTGTTCTTCTCTTCTTACGTCTTCTTGAACTTTTGCTAGCTTTCTTCTTGATGTTTATATCAGTTGCAGACATATCAATAGTATATTTATATTGTATATTTAACACTTTCCTAACAGCAATAATAATATCTCTTGTCGATAGCCAATTCTAACGCTGCCATACTCCTTTGTATATCACACTTAAGTAGTATATTCTTTATTTTATCTCATCTCATCTCATCTCATCTCATATTTTGAAATTTTTCAAGATTCTAATTTTATCGACGGTACACGTGAGGACTCATATATATGTCAATATTCTAGAAAAGTTCATTTCAATATTTTACAATGAATTACAGTTTCTCTATTAAATGTTTATATAGTTTTATGGTAACTAAAATAATTTATCCATGTCTACCAAGACATAATCCAATAAATAACTCTGTTCGACTAAATTATCAACCCTTGAAAAATGTCTTTGTGAATATGGTAAAATAGAATCAATAATCTTGATCATACCAGGTATTTCTGACAATTGAGAAATGCTGTGGGTTTGTAATATACATCTGATTGTCTTTTGTGCAACTGAATGGGAACGAGCATTGGTATTCCAATCTCTACATCTATTCATTATTAATAATAATTGTTCTGGATTCAAAGTAGAGATAACATGATCTAATTCAGGATTGAAAATTACTTTATTACTACCGGTTTCATCTGATTCATAGCTAGTCATAGACTGCTTTAAAACATTATATAACCTCATTGGATGATCAAGTGTCATTGCTAATAAAAATGCATTGGTCCATTCTCCATTAGCTATGAAATTTCTTAAAGATTGCTCTTGTTCAACTCTTAATTTTTCCTTTTCTAGATCTTGTTCTTTAACTTCCTCGGTACAATCCTTCCAGAACTGAAATACACCATCAGCATCTGCTGTTATTATCATGTCACCATCTCTTAATACGCACAATGCCCAAATTCTATTGGCATGTCCATCAAGTGTTTTCAGACATTCACCAGAAGAGCAATCCCAAATCTTGATTAAACCATCAGCACCTGTACTTACAATTTGTTTCTGTTTATTAATGAATGAACATCTTTGAACGGCATTCGTATGTCCTTCTAGAGTATTAACAACTTTGAATGTCTCTAATGACCATATTTTAATTGTCTTATCCCCAGAAGCAGTGGCAATGTATTTATCGTACTGGCAAAATGAAACATCCCACAAACCACGCTTATGGTTCGCTAAGGTTGCCATAAGTTCACCAGAATCCAAATCCCAGATTTTACATGTTTTATCGTAGGAGGCAGTAGCAAATATGGAATCATTTGGAGCAATAGATAGTGCATTGATATCTTTTTCGTGAGCTCTACGGGTATATTCTGAAACTTTGATTAAATGCATATCATCATCATTATCTGATTTCTTTGTTGGTGATGGAACTTTCCACTTCTTTACGGTAAAATCATTAGACGATGTGATTATAAATTCAGGCCAACCATTGTTAATAACGTTTGGTAGACTAACAGAGGTGACAGATGAAGCATGACCAATGAACTGGGCATATTTTTTAAATTTGTTTTCAGAATCATTAAATCTCCAAAGCATAGCTGTATTATCCTTTGAAGCAGTTGCAATCCATAAACCATCTTCGGTGGCATCTAAAGAATTTAATAAATCTTCATGACCGTCGTACAATTCGACACCTAATGGGATATTATTCTTGTTATCTTCTGAAATTACAGGGATTATTCTTAAGGTAGGAGAATTTGTAGCTAACGCGATAGATTTTAATTCAGGTCCAACCAATCTCATATCAGCAATAGTACCATGGTTACCAGCGATAGACGATTTTATTGTTATGATTTCAGAATCCTCTTCAAAAGTATCTATTAAATCAATCAATTGCAATGTCTGATCAGAAAGAACTAAATAAAGTTTGGTGAAATTTTTGATTGGTAGTACGCCAATAATAAACAATTCTTCAGTTGGCTTCTTTGTCTTCTTTATGACAGAACCGTTAGATAGTGACAATATTTGAAAAACTGCATCACCACCTGCTGTATAAATGCAGTTATCATCTTCAGTACTTTTTATAAATCCACATGCTTCAACTTGTTGATGGACAGGAAATGTTCTTATTAGTTTAAAATTCTTTAAACCACTGATAGTCCAATGGTTGATAATATTATCTCTACCACCAGTAACTAAATGAATAATGTCACTATCAGTTGAAGATTGTTTGAAATCGATACCTCTTACAGCTGAAGAATGTTCTTGTAAGGTATGAATACACTTTCTTTTCACCAAATCCCAAACTTTGACCATACCATTAGTATCACCAGATGCTAAAAGCCATACAGAATCCTCTGATTCACCATAAAACTTTAAACTTGAAATTGTTGCACCATGACCTTTTAAAGAATGTGTAATGTATCAATTTTCAATATCAAGAACAGAAACTGGACCTCCCTACCACAAAACTAAAAAGGGGAAGTTGAATTTTTCTCAAACTTAAAGGGGGAAAAAATTTCTTGACCTATAACACTCCGGCTTAAACTCAAAATTAAAGAACGGAGCTGATTGCCAACACAAATTTCCCCCCCCCGATATTAAAAGGGATATTTTGTTCAACACTCCCAGAGTGGGAAAAA